AACCATGGGCAAAGTTTTTTCCAGACAGAAATTGTAAACATGACTTTCATAGAATAATAATAAACTTTCCCGTTCTAAAAGGCAGGGGCCTCGGTGGCCGAGTGGTCTAAGTAATTACTACTGTAATTACTAACCAGTCAACACTGAGGTTGTGAGTTCGAACCCCGCTCATGCAGGTGCACTCGACTCCAATCTTAATTGACTAGGATTGTCAGTTTTCCTATCTAAGGTCGGTGGTTTTCTCCGGGCACTCCGGCTTCCTCCACCAATAAAAACTGGCCGCCACGAAATAGCCCGAAAGCGGTGCTTAAAAGTGGCGTTAAAACACCAAAAATCAAAAATCAAATCTAAAAGGCACACTGAAGCATTGAGTTTTTGTTTATATTCAAACTATAGTAATTTTAAATGATTAATTCCAGTGTAATGTACTGTGTGATCGTTGATTCTGATGGATACTTTTAAAGTATATTATTGTATTTGTTCCACACTTTTCAGCAACGTAGGTTGGTTGATTCACTCGAAATTTAATTGATTTATTGATTATTGGTGTTTAATGCCACTTTCAGCACTATTGGCTATATCATGACGATCAGTTTTATTGGTGGAGTAAGCCGGTGTGCCCGGAGACAACCACCGACCTTCGAGAGGAAAACTGACAATCCTCAGGGGCGGATCCAGCTATTTCTAAAGGGGGGGTTCCAACCCAGGATAAAGGGGGGGTTCCAACTATATGTCCCCATTCAAATGCATTGATCGTCAAGAAAAAGGGGGGTTCCAACCCCCCCCCCCCCCCCCCCCTTTGGATCCGCCAATGATCCTAGGCAATTAAGATTGGAATCGGATGCACCCACCACGAGCGGGCTCGATCTCCGACTCAACCTCAGTGTTGACAGGCTAGCGATACAGTAGATGAACTACTTATACCACTCCGAGATTCGACTACCGACACCAACGGAATAAAATTATATATCTTATTGGGTTGTTTTCCCATGGAATGATGTATATTCTTCATCTCCTTTCATTCATATATCATATAGCCTGCATTGGCCAATGGGTATAATTAAAACTAGAGCTGCTAACATATTTACCTAAGAACATTTTATTTCACTTGATTTTATTGAATATTATTTGTTTTAACTTCGAATTATTGATGTTATTGTCATGTCAAATATGTATGCCCTTTAGTGCCATTAATTGGAATAAAATATTCTACTCCTTCTATAGCTCATGGTACTAATTTTATACATGAAAAACAAATATTCATTTATTATATAGCTTTCTATGATGGGTGACAACACATGTCAAATGAATTGACCGTCAACAATTATGGATGACAACCAATTCCCTCTAGTGGGTCGCTCAGACATTCAAACGAAATTGTGATGTTAATGTTAGTGCTTTTCAATTTCGTACTTTATTTGGCCTTTTTAACTTTTTTATTCGAGCGTCATTGATAAGTCTTTTGTAGACGAAACGCGGGTCTGTGTGTCTATGATGAAAATTAAATACAGAGGTAGGATCAATTTACCTTGTATTTATAGTGTTAAAATCAGAAACTTGATAAAACCTACCGGGATTTAAATATTAACGACATCACATGACCTATCCGAGAACAATCCTTCGGAATTTTGGAAATCTGTAAATTTATTAAAGGACAAAGCGAAGGAAGACCCTAGCTCCAATATTTCACATGATGAATGGTTGAAGTACTTTAAAAATTTAATGAATTTTCAACATTGTAATAATTTTGATGAAAATGTTAGTAGTATTGATTGTAATAATGATTGTTTAAATGATAGTATTACTGCGAAGGAGGTGTTAAAGGTTGTAAAAGACTTAAAGTTAAAAAAAATCTGCTGGTTGTGATGGTATAACAAACGAAATGATTAGAGTGTCATGTGGTAAATTAGTTAAAACATATGTGTTGATTTTTAATTTGATATTTAAAAGTGGAATCTTTCCTTCTATATGGAGATAAAACATCATTAAGCCTATATTTAAAGGAGGGTGTTTTAATGATCCTTCCAACTACAGGGGTATAGCTCTTTCTAGCTGTTTAAGTAAATTTTTCTTAAAGATATTATCTACCAGGTTAGAGAACTTCCTTGAAACTAACAATATATTACACAAGGAGCAAATAGGCTTTAGGAAAAATAGCAGAACAAGTGATCACATTTTAACATTAAAAACTCTTATTGACAAGACCTTCAAAAAATCTAAACATCTATACACTTGTTTTGTAGATCTAAGAAAAGCGTTTGACACAATCAATAGAGATGGCCTTTTTCATAAATTACTAAAATATAATATAAAAGGGTCTTTTTTTAATATTTTAAAAGATATGAACAAAGATGTCTCTTTCTCTGTAAAATTAAAAGAGGGACTAACACAAACATTTCCATCATGTGTAGGATTAAAACAGGGTTGTATATTAAGCCCTACATTATTTTCATTGTATATAAATGAACTGGTTGAAACGTTTGACCACAAATGTGATCCAGCATGCCTAGATGATAAACAAGTGTCTTGTCTTCTTTATGCAGACGATCTAGTAGTAATATCAGAATCTGCATCTGGCCTGCAAAATGCTTTAGATAAATTAAATATGTTTTGTGATAAATGGAATCTATCTGTCAATCTTAATAAAACAAAGATTATAATATTCAATAAAACAGGAAAAATTATTAAAAAACACAATTTCTATTATAATGGAAAACTACTAGAGCTGACTGATGAATACAAGTATCTAGGTATAATTTTTAAACCATCTGGATCTTTTACTACAGCAATTGATCAGTTATCTAAAAAGGCTAGCAAAGCTATTTTTTGTATTAGAAAATTATTATATTCTGAAAAGATGAATTTACTACCACATTTAAAGCTTTTTGATTCATGTGTTAAACCTATTTTATTATATAGCAGTGAAGTTTGGGCTACCGTTAGTTTAGTGAAACAAAATACTACCATCGAGTCAAACTATGCAAACTTTAGTCCAAATAAGATTCAAATCAAATTTGCTAAATTTTTATTGGGTGTAAATAAAGGTGCTGTGAATAATGCTGTACTTGCTGAATTAGGATTATTCCCACTTTCATTGTCAGCCCTTAAAAATACAATTAATTTCTGGATTCATATCATTAATATGAATAGCGAGAGTATGGTAAAGAAAGCATACAGTGAAAACTTTAACATGTCTAATGGTTTTTGTAGTAAAATAAAAGTGTTATTAGGTAAACTTGGTTTTCAGCATGTTTGGGAAAATCAAAATACTATGTCAAAGACAAAATTACTTTTTTCAGTTCAGAAGAAATTAGAGGAGGAATTCATAAAATCCTGGAAACAAGCTCTTTTTTGTGACTTTAATAAAGATAGTCATGGTAATAAACTAAGAACGTATCGCAAAGTTAAAAATAATTACGAATTAGCTGAAAAATATCTCCTACTGGACCTTAACAAAAATGTTATTTCTAAAATGGTAAAAATTAGAATTAGTAATAGCAAATTACTAATAGAAGTTGGTAGATATACTAGAACACCTTTAGAACAGAGAATTTGTCCACTTTGCAAGGATGGAATTGAAGATGACTTCCATTTCCTCATTAAATGTAAAGCGTTAGAATTTAATAGAAGTATACTCTTTTGTAATTTAAGTGATATAGTTCCATCTTTTGTTCATATGTCTGAACAAGATAAATTTAGTTTCATTTTGAAAAGTAATGATACTGACATTTGTACTGTATGTGTAGCTGGAATAAGCGATATGTATGATTCGAACATTCATTTAAAGCAAACATAATGTTGTTAAGAACTGTTGTAGTATTAAAGCTTATTGTAATAACTTGAAGTGATAATATAGTATGAATAACACCTCCACGCAATGTAGATATAAAATATGTGTCTCTTATCATTGAGAAAACATATCTCTGTATATTTGTTTTTTTGTTTATTTTTGTCTGTTTTTGTATTTGTATTTTGTAAATGTCAGCTGGTATCATTCCTGTATTGGAATTTACACCAATAAAATTATTTGATTTGATTTGATTTGATTTATGACATATAATATACTTAAAACATTTTTTACGTAATTCAATAACTTCAGATGTTATTCTTTTATTCAGTGTTACATATTGCTGCTATGATATTGTAAATTTTGAATTTATTTCAATTATGCACCTTTGTTAATTGGTTTCAGAGAATAAAGTATCGAACTGTCTATCTGTAATGTTTCGAACTCTTTAAACAAAATGAACAATATATATTATTTGTATCGGAAAATAATTTTGAGCTTTACTTCAAATTCAACTTTGGTTTTGGTTAAAAATGTCCGGTCTTACACATTTTCTGGATTAATACTAAATTTGCTTACATTCCATCAAAATTGTAATCTTTCAACTATCTTTTTGCATTTAAAATTTGGTCATACGTCTAGTAATACGCTATGCTATAGTTTCAGCATCATCCATACTACACACATCAGTGAACTTCATCATTTTTGTGAAGATTAAAAATTCTTGGAAAATTGGCACTACCTCTAAGTTAATCATTCATAGGAAAGACTGTCGTCGTCGAGTAAACAAAAAGTCCAACCTATGTGCGTAAAATATTCAAGGAAATAAAACAGGTATAACGACTTAATCTTACACGATGTATTTAACGCTTTATAGATGTCGTGCGTCCGAAGTAAACCTAAACAAAAATGAAACTTAGGGATATAAAAATACGTAGAATCATTAGGAGCTATATGACTAAAAGGTAATGGCCAAATTCGTCTACTTAATTTCAACTTTGCGAGAGGAAGTTGGAACCTTCGTATCTTAATAATTTCAAATATCATAGACACAATAGACATTCACAACACATGGACACAAAAGATAATGATAACACATTAATCACAACACACAGACACTATTGACACTCGCAACGCACCAATCACAACGCATGGACAAAAAAAGACAATCACAGCACAGCAACGCACTATGGTAACGTAGTAGTCCCTGCATTTTAGAGCATCTATAATGTCGTACGAGTGGCTTTTTAGTGATAAGTTTGTTGTAGGAGCAGCTGCAATTACAGTTGCAGCATATGGATTGTACAGAATATGGAAATGGTGGAGATTTGAAGATGAATACTTCCAGAGAATAAAACACTCTGGTTCACCGGTTTGTATATACACTTGGAAAATCATTGAACATCTATTTTCATATCTTAAAATTTCAACAATTCCTCCTGTAGGAAGTGACTTATCATCATGGCTCATTCTAATCAGTCAGTTGTACAGGGCATGCAGTCGATCTGTGTGTTTCAAAACTGGTTCCAATGATCAAAATTAAATATAGCTAAAATGGAACATACTTTACAATACTTTAAAGCCGCAAAATCAAGTATTTTCCTATCCGGTATATAGCTACATACTTGTAATGTATTCGTCTACTTATATTCTTGCATGTTGCGATAACAAAAAAATGCTTACATAATTATGTTTAATTTTCTTTTTTTGTTTTCTTTTTAAGCGGGTAAGAGCACATTTTTCATATGGCTTGATTCTACTATTGTACTCCTTGTGCGTTTGAATTTATAATAACTGAATATTTAATCAGGATATTGTTACATTTTTCTTATGGTTCACTTATCTGTTCAGCTCTTTCTCGATTTCCCGCCTAAAACAATCATTCCTCTTCATTTAAAGGAAATGCCGAACCCTAAATAGATTTTTGAAAAAAACCTTTGAGAAGAACTTCCGCATTGTTATGACACCGCCGTCACCGGAGGGGGCATTAAGTGTTACCCTTGTCCGTCCGTACGTCTGGACGTACACACGTCCCGAAATTGGTTTCCGTTCTCTAACTTTAGTTTGCCTCAACCAAATGTTGATAAACTTAAACACGATGCTTATTACCACAAAACACAGATCAAGTTCGAATGTGGGTGGCGTCACTTTTACACGGTTCTCGAGTTATGCCCTTTTATAACGTTATATGCAAGCGGGGGTATCATCTGTGTCCCATGGACTTCTCCATTTATGTCTTTATCATTTCTAAATATAGGGAAGACCAAAAAAATAAAAAGCAAAAAGCAGTCATTTAATAATTTAAAATATGAGAGCTGAGGTCGACTTTTCCATTAAAATGAATTCTGTTGAGAAATCATTTTGATCTTGCACTTTTTCCACCACCTATTCTCTGTAATAATACACTCGCTATTGACTCTTGCGTAGCAATTGGGACAAGGAGGCCAATTGCTCCCAACTTTCCAAATAAATAGGGGTAAAACTATGTTTATTGCCCTTCCCTTTTCACACACACTCACACACACGCACACACTTCGACAAAATATATTGAAATAAAAAATGAAAAAGAGTACACCAGCTTACTTTTAAACTATCTATATGACTAACGAGAATATCATTTTTTTTTTTTGCGCTTATTATTTAAAAAAATGCCTCAGCCCTTTATAAGCCTACTCCTACCCCACTGATTGATATCATTCCGTTTAAATAGAGCTAATAAATATAAAATGCAGAAGCGTGCTCTTTTGTTATCCACCAACTAAAAAATGTTGTATTCCACTGGTTTATCTCACTGTCTCTGCGTATTAAAAAGGTCAGTAGGGATCATTCCGACAACCAATTGTAGATAGATTGGTACTAGATATAAGAAGATGTGGTATGAGTGCCAATGAGACAACTCTCCATCCAAGTCACAATGTGTACAAGTAAACCATTATAGGTCAAAGTACGGCCTTCAACACGGAGCCTTGGCTCACACCAAACAGAAAGCTTTAGCCTGGGAGAACATGATTTATTGATTCGTTGTAATTGGCTTTGAACAAGCTTTCAACTCTTATATCTGTGCTTTGTGTCTTTTGTTTATATGTTAGTTGTTTGTTGGATTTTGTGTACATCGTACCGATCTATTCGAGTTAAGCCATTTGTAACTGGTTGTTACAGTTTATTCTTATGTTGTGCTGTATACTACTGTCCTAGCTTTGGGTAGGGTTGTTAAATTGAGCGCTCACAAACATGTTTAGCCCCGCCGAATTCTGTATGTGCCTGTTTGTCGTTGGTTCATATCTGTCATATTTGTTTTTTGTAAATTGTTATAAATTATGCCGTAAGTTTTCTCGTTTGAATTGCTTCCAGGTCGGGTCTTTTATAGCTGACTTTACGGTATGAGTTTTTTTCTCATTGTTGAAGGCCGTACGGTAACCTATATAATATGCTTATATCTTCCGGCGTCATTGAACTCCGGTGGATAGCTGTCTCTATGGCAATCATAAATATCAAAAAGAAGAAGATGTGGTATGATTGCCACCAGAGACCAGATGACATAGAAGTTAACATACCACATCTCCTATTTTTGTAATTCAGTTCGAACAAACAAAATGCTGACTCAGGCCAATTGAGACAATATACATTTTTTTGGGATAAAAATCAACAATATTGAATTTGAAGTGGAAGATCCGACGTGAAACCTCCGCCAAAATGCGACGTCATGGATAAACTCTACGGAAACGAATTATCAACGTCACAAACACGGCTTTATACAGCCAGTGACCGTATAAAGCTAACGTGTATATGGTCAATGCATCTTGAGTGCGCAAATATCACAGTTACAGTATAAAATTCGTAAGGGGTTCCGCGGAACCTTATGTCTCGCCTGCGATTGCTGCTGTCAGTGTAAAAGTGTAATATTGACTTAAAACGTGAGTCAATTTAACAGTAAAATACAGAATTTAAAAAAAAATCTATTTATTTCTTTATATGCTATTTCATGGTCTTGAAGATTAGCTTCTGTCCAAGTTTCATAACAATCCCATGAAAGTTTACAAATTTATCATGTCAAAAAAATTTAAAGCCAAGACTGTCTGTAAATGTAAACTGTAAAATAAGTCTATCTATCAGAAATGGTTCCTCACGTGTAATATCAGTCTTTAACAACATGATTTACCCTGTTCAAAGTTTGCTTTATTATTATAAGATGTATCTCTTTTCAGACATAAAGCTTCATTTGATACCAGAAAATGTGGTAAAGGATATATAAAGTTTTACTGATTTTTCATTGAATGCGCATTTACATTTCTTACATTTAGTATCTGATAAGAGGTATATAATAATACCGGTATATAACAATGTAAAAAATGACACATTAGGTTAAGTTTGCTGCGTTTGGAGTCGTTATAGTGCACCAAGATATATCATCCTACATGTCATTTATTTACTTCATTATGTATAATATTCAGCTTTTAATATCTGTGGACTATTTTGATTTTTTACTGTTTGCTATGATCACATTTTCCAAATACAAACTCTTACTCCTGTGTATTCAATATTATCAAAATCAACTTTCAAATTATTATTTATATTATAGGATCTAACTTAGAGCCTCGACATTTTTTTTAACAAACAAATATTTTCAATGAGAGAGGCGTCTTGAATTCTCAACAAAACTAGTCTATTGATCTAAAATATATTACAGTCCAAGAAGCTATTAGTTCTTATTATTGGGCTCGATGGTAGTGGAAAGACCTGCTTTCTACAGTCCCTAGGAGAATCCCGTCACCAGATTCCTTACCCTCAGCCAACCAGTGGAGTAAATTCTATCAGGAGAACCATTGGAGATGTAGAATATTCTTTGTATGAAAGTAAGTTGTTGCTCTTCACGCTATTGGCTATCTTAGCCACTTGTATCAGTGAGTTTTAATTTCCCCATTTTCTAAAGAAATATCTTTTAGAAGTGGATACCAGACAAATATTCTATTATTAGCTTATGCGTGACAGTAGCCAGTTCTACGAAAATGTTTGACATATAATTTTAATTGATTGTGTATTAAAAATGCATTTATGTGCCATGAAATAAAAAGTCACTTGACCCATGCATATTTCGCTGTTGGTGCATGGTTTTTAAATAAGTTTTTCACCGAGATTAGCTTTGATCAAGTTATAAGTTCAGATGAACTTTAATCATAATGCTTTGTGCAAGGAAGTATCATAGGTTGTATTCAAGCCTCGCACCAGAAGTAGGTCACTCTGATCTATGTTTCATGCTTCATTGACTTACACTAGGTTTTGCTTGCGAGATCTGATACTGAGACACTTACAATAGCATTTCTTGGTGCTTGCAAATATGAATCCATGGGATGGTTACTAAGTGCATCCAGCGAAAATCTTGTTTTGAACATTTTTTACCTCAAGTCGCAAATAAAAATGAATAAAATCATAGTTATTGTCTAGTGAATGCGACACACAAATATATAAAATTTCTATCTAAAGAAGTTCTTTTCATCTAAATTTTAGTCGGTGCTGGTGGTGGTTTGATCAAAGCCAGGTTATACTGGTCTGAATTTCTTAAAGAATTCAAAGCAAAGACTATTGTGTATGTAGTGGATGCTGCTAATCACCAGAGGATAGAGGAAGCAAAGATAGCACTGTCACAGTTTTCCGAGAAAAACAGGACACAAAACCTACAACTTCTCATCGTTGCAAACAAACAGGTGATACATGTATAAAATACACAGGAGACGTGGTATGATTGTCAATGAGACTAATATTCAACAAACAAAAATGAAGCGGATTTAAATATATTTCCGTGTAGCAATTGGCTTAATTAGACAGGTGTCTGAAAAAAATATGTTCGAAAACTCAAAACTTATTGTACCAAATCGAGTTTAAGGCATGTTCAAGTTAAATTTCCAACAAATATGGCAATTCAGATGAATTAATGACTTCACACGAATTGAACATAACTATGTGAACTTCTATTTTTTCATATGACAAACACAAAGATATTATAAAAAGTCACTGAAACACAATTTTTTTTTTCAATAACCTTTTATATCCAGATTTGACAATGATAGGAAGATGATTTGTAGGAGTTTTATTTTCAACGCTATAAATTGAAGAGTGGGATCCAATGAATAAGAAATGTTCTAAAATTACAAATATGCATCAGTCCTTTAAATTGAACTGAGAAATTTCGTGAAGGCTGCTTGTAAGGGGCTACAATGTCCTACCTATGATCTAAAATACCCATTTACTTATACTACAGTTTTTAATTGCAGGATGTACCTGGGGCCCTGACTCCGTCGCAGGTTCTTCAGAGAGTTCAAGAGGTCAAATACAAATATAAGAGTGTGCATGCCGTGGGAACAATTTTAAGTCCAGGAAGAGAGAGAGAAGGCGTTTACGAATCTTACACTTACTTGCAATCTTGTGTCCCAAAACAAATCTAACATTATAATAGTCACATTCGATATGTATGCTTGCTAGAAATAAATCTTACTGATGAATCGAGGTATTCTTGTTTCCGTTATAAAAATGGATGCACTTATACTGGTACAAAGTTACTAGTGTGCTATTACATTAAATAAGACAAATGAGAAATGCGGATGTGAGGTGCATGTACCCTACAGAAAATAGAATTGATTGTCGAATCAAGTCAATGTCAGGTTTGCCTTGCATTGTAGTTTGCTGCTTTCCACTGTTTTAGCCCTATATTTTATACATATATACTCCGACTTTCCAAGTCAGGATTCATTGGTTGTCAATTGTTGTTGTATATCATATTTGTCTTTTGTTTATTGTTTTGTACATAAATCAGGTTGTTTGCTTTCTCGCTTGAATTGTTTTACATTTTTCATTTCGGGGACTTTTATAGCTTGCTATGCGATATGGGTTTTGCTCATTGTTGAAGGCCGTATGGTAACCTGTAGTTGCCAACGTCTACGTCATTTGGTCTCTGGTGGAGAGTTGTCTCATTGGCAATTATACCACATCTTATTTTGATTTCGATGATTTTGACTCATGTTGTTGGGTTACTGCCTTATTATCTTAAAATAGACCAAAATACCGTGACTTTCCTTATTTATTGTACTATCATTAAACACGATACTTTTCACCCAACTTACATATCTGGCATAAAAGTTACTAAATGTTACCGATTGAACCCATAATACGTGGTCAAATTACTATCATAACTTCATAAGAACTTTTCTCAACTTTTTTTTGACTGATAAAAAGTCATTTACACATATCGTTCAGAACTGCATGTTTTAGCTAATTGAGGATGGATGGAATTGGTATCTAACATCCAGTGGCAAATATCACATGGTCTCTGGTGGTTCAAGAACATGTTAACCATACTTTGTACTTGACTGACACACAAGTCGGATTTTAACGTACAAGATAACAAGGTAACAATCAAGAGGAAGACATGTCACCCTACCTCAATACATTATTCTGACTGAGCCAGCGAATCTGCACTTTCCCCTTAATGCCGAGTGTGGAGAAGCAGAAAATATTAATATCCAAGAATTTGGTTTGATCAGGACATGAATCTAACCCACAGCCTCCAGCACCCCAGGCAAGCACGCTGTCACAATAATAGAGGGTCTGGATGGGGATCCTTCAATTCTGTATTCTTGAGTTTTTTAAGCCATTTTCTCTATTCTTTATAAATTTTGCCTGTTATTCTCTATTCTTTATATTTTAGCACCCTATTATTCTCTATTAATTGTTTGAAAATATTTTGTCTCGTAGTGTCAAATAAGAAAATTGAAAATGAGGACCATTTTATCAATTTTAATGTCTAAACAAAACAGAAATGTCTTTAGGGCCTTCCATGGATTTGTATATTGGCAGTTCAGATAAGAGTTTTCACAGAACTATATGTATTCTGTACTATAAGCAAAATTAGGGATCTTTGGACAGGATATGTTTCTCGTAAATTTGAAAGATTTAGATTCACATTTCAGGAAAGATCTTTGAAAAGTGACTTCAAAACAACTGCTGTATGCATATGCTTTTATTACCTTGAAAAGTATGGTAATACATTGTATTTTATTTCATTGTATCAATAGGTAACATTAGTAACATTATCTTCTATCATACAGATTATGCAAATAATATAAAGCATAAAAAAATAAAATGCTCCGCTGGTCGAACCCTGAACAGTTGGGGCAAGTATGGACACAACATTCAAGCTTGATACAGCACTGAATTTGGATTGTGATTAAATATTTGACACAGCATAGGTTTCTGACACAGAATGAATATGGTCTAAGAACTTAAAATTTTTTAATTTACCTATTCAAACCATATCATTATTATTTGCTTTTATATATAAATCAGAAATAACCAATTTAAAATGGAAAATTTCAAAGAAAAAAAAATCCCTCCCCCAAATTTTTGAACCCCCTTATGATTCATCACCCCCAAACTCAATCCCAGCCTTCCTTTTGTGGTATGGTACCTTGCAGTACAATTTCAGAGAGATCCATACACTTGAACACAAGTTATTGTCTGGAAACTAGAAAAATGCTTATTTTTGGCCCCTTATTCCTAAACGTTTTGGGCAATTACCCCCAAACTCAATTCCAGCTTTCCCTTTGTGATATGGAACCTTGTAGTACAATTTCATAAAGATCCATTCACTTACACACAAGTTATGTCTGGAAGTTATAATTCCTTAACTGTTGGTACCATAACCCCCAAAATCAATCCCAACCTTCCTTTTGTGGTATTGAACCTTATGGTAAAATTTCATAGAGATCCATTCACTTAAACTTAAGTTAGAGTGCGAAAACTAATTTGTCTTTGGACGACGACGACGACGCAGTCATACCAATATACGACCGCAAATTTTTTTTGCAGTCGTATAAAAAGGATAACAAATAATTCCATAAAAGACCACTGTACACACAATTTGTGACAGTGACACTTAACTAGATCACTTTGAACTTTTTAATTCTTGAAAGGAAATCCCTCCACTTTCTTTTGAACACTCTCTGTTAATCATATATCTGTGTATCAGAAAGAAACAGTGATAAAACACTAAAATATTTCTTTTGTATGTGTAGCAGGACTATGATGCAACACACACTTATTGTGTGACTAGTTTAAATAAAATGATGATTAATCCATAAAACGAACAAACTATTCAACAAACTATTGACACAGAGATGTCTTGCCTGCATGTAGTTTTGATAGTATATTGCAAATGTTGAAATAAAAAAAAAAACAACACTTTAACATTTTAACTACACACAGATCTTTCAAAGTCAATAAACAATGACTGAGAGTAAAGAGGGAAATGAGATGTACCAATGCTAATACAACTGCATGCCATAAATCATTCACTAACCATTAGACCTAATCACATAACTTTAACATATTGTTAATGCTGTCGATGCCAAATACAGTACACCTATGTCCTGACTTCACAATTTTGTTGTGGTGAGACAAAAAACAGCTAATCCATGCTAATATTTTTATTACCCTGAAAAGTACAGTAATGCAATTTTATTTTATTTCATTTAATCAATATGAAACGTTAGGAACATTGGTAAAAACATAACAGTATAAAAACAAATTGCATGAATGTAATAAACAATACTTCTACTGAAGTATACAATTACAATATGGCTGCATTTGGCAACTGGTCTGAAAATGCATACACAATGTAAGTTCATTATCATTTGAATTTTCAGTAGGAGGACATCAAGCAAATTATAACAACGTGTGAACTTTCTTTTAAATGACATTTTACTAAAAAAAAAAAAAAAAAAAAAAAATTTAACCTCACGAAATATTTTCATATTTTTTTTACCTGTAAAAGCAAAATTTGAAATATTTCACCCCATTTCGGGATAAATTTAATCTTTTTGAAATTTCTAAAAACAGGTGTTGCAGTTGAATTCATGGATTTAAAACCTAAGTGTCTGAAATGATTTAAGAAAAAAATACTTTATTTAGGTGTAGTCCTTTACAACACATTTTTGTGAACTTCTTTGTAGAAAAATATAATAATGGAAACAAAGAGCATCAAAATACACTATTTGATATCTCTACAAGACAAAGACTTACACAAATGCTCCAAGTTGAAATACCAAGAGAACAATGTTCATCAGACAGCTCCAACTGTTGCTGTGCAGTGTTGTACTATATAATACAACTACAGCGAAATGTGAGATGGATACAATTAATTCTATAAAATTACATGCTATCTGTAGTATTGATTACATATGTGATTAAGTAAAACTTCTTTCCTTTTCTTTTGACCTTGTTTATTATAATCTCATTATGAACATTTCTAATATACAGTGAATAAAAAGACCAATCAAAAACTGGAATACAATTGATATATACACTGTACAAAAGTTTACTTCAAAATTTGAAATATTCCTTTCCAGCAATGCTACATGTATATACTTTAAGATGTTATCACTATAGTATTTGACTCGATGTGAACATGGGATACTTTGTTCAATGATTCTTTCTTGCATGATGGAAAATCGTCCATATCATTTAATACATAGGACCTCTTCCCCTACCATATGGATTGAACCTGTTAAGTTCTGAATGATTTTGAAAATGCTCATGGGATAACTCTTCCTCCTGATAGGGTTGCCACTGACCATTGTCAAAATTTAACATCTGAAAATTGTCATTTCTGAAGTCTTGTTGTTGAAATGCATTATTCCTCAAGTTTTGATTCTGAAATGGATTTCCAACCATGTTTTGTGTATGAACCATGTTTTGTGCATGAACCATGTTTTGTGCATGAGCATGATGAAATTGATTTGATTGCATTGGAGGATTATGAAATGGGTTAAGACATGCAACAAAGGGATTTTGCTGTATCTGATTGGCTGGCAGGAAGTTGAAATTAGCATGCTGTACATGCTGTGGCTGATGATTATAGTTAAATACTTGAACATTATCGTTATGCATAGAAGGCACTGGACTGTGCCTGTCATTTTGCCAATGATTTCCTCGTCTGCGCTTCTTTTTATTGTTTTTTATTCTAGCTGACTTTGGTTTGAAAGTTTCTGGTTTTGTTGCATTTGGTATGGGTTTGTTCTTATCTTTAGCTGCTGGTACTTCTACTTCAACAATATCATCATGTTTCATTTTTTCTGTTTCTTTCTTTTCAACATCAAAAATACTTTTAAATTTGATTTTTTCAGTTTCCTCACGACTTTCGGTGTTATTAGATTGTGAATTCTCATTTATTTCATTGCCATTATCGTCCATCTGTATTTTAATATGCTTTGGCATTTTTACATTCCATGTTTGAGCAATATGAGACAAGATTAAGTTTGTTATCCTACGATGTCCTGTCATATCCCAATGAATGCCATCTTCAGCACGTCGATGAATTTGATGACGCAGGAAATAATGGAGGTCAATGACATCATGGCCGTACTCCACGGCAGCCTTAGATGCGTAGTAATTAGCCTCTAAGACATGTAACTCCATTGAGTCCTTCAAATAATCCAGTCCTGGTATAAATACTCCTCCTTTAGGATTATGAGATATAGCAGGGTTTGTATTCCATATTACAAGACACTCTGGTAAATCAGATTTCAGCTTTTTGAAAAGTTTATGCAGATTTTGTTTATACTCAGGTACTGGTATTTTACCATATCTAAAATAAAAAATAAAAAAAACATTAGATTTTCCTAAACCAACCTCTTTTGCTGATTGGAGTGACAATGCCTATATACTAGATACTCTAAGGATCAGTTACCCTAAGTTTGGTTGAAATTGGTTCAATTGTTTAAGAGATGAATTTGATCTTTGAAAATGTGAACAATGGATGATGTACACTTGACAAATCAATGTACCAAGACAGACCCTAAGTGATGGTAAAGGGTCACATAGCCTACTAGGCTAGGTGAGCTTATAAGGAACCTGATGAACATTTTATATGTTTTTAATGGAGTTATCTCCCTTAATAGTGTACTTTCTACAAAATATGTTTTTACTGACAATTAATAAGAGTTAAACAAACAGATCCAGCTAAGAAAACTTAACTTTGATCAATAAACCATGAAAATGTAGTCCAGGAAGGATTAACCGTCAGAAGGATATTTTTACCTTGAAATGATTCCATGTACCTATTACTCATAATAACTGAAAAATCTTGTGATAAAAAAAAAAACATTTTTTAAGTCATGAAAAGAATTAATTCTAGCTTTAGTTTTCATTGACCATGAGGTACACTTGAAGGAAATCGGTTTGTAAATATTTTTCATTGATTGATTGTTGTTTGCTTTATGTCCAGTGGCAAATACTGCATGCATGTTCAGGATAAGTAAGTGGTTATTGAAATATGAAAATGAGGTCAAAGAAAAAGAGCATATTCCAGATGGAAATTTGACAATAAGGATTAAGTATACCATACATAAATAAGCCAGCTCTTCTACATTCTGAAATATAAACCTTTATACAAAATATACTGGATATGCATCCCTATGTCTTAAAATCTGCAAAACAATACCATACAGCAGTTTTTGTCCCTTTTTTCAAAAAAAAAACCTTTCATATTTATTATTTTTGTATTTTGTTAAAGTGTTTGTTTTGTACTATTAAGAATTACACTTTGGCATGAGGTTTTTACCATTGCAAATGATTTGTTAGCTACCATCAGATGATTGTAAGTGTCAAACATTTGCTGTATTCAGTCCAAAATCTAATCAAACGTTTGCCATTAGTATCTTACTGATAGTAAAAAAAAAAAATAAAAATTTACAGTTTTCCCCCAACTATATATCTAATACATGTAATCAATGAAAATTAAAGCTAGCATCAATTCTATTCATGTCTTGTTTATGTATGTGCCCAATAAAATATATCAGTTTTATATTTAGACCACAGTTTTTTTTTAAAAGTAGAATACAAATACCTTGTTATATCCCAGAGACATGAATTAACAATGATTACATCTGGTTTCTGTTCTGCTGAAGCCAACTTGTTTATAACTGACTCTATATAACTATTGTAAGATCTTGTCATAAAGATAAACTGTAGGAAATAGAAATCTGTCTGGTACTGTCTCACTTCTCTGTAACCTATTCCTTTCTTGTCAGCTCCTCTCATTCCTCCATCTAATAGTTTATCACGTAAACAGGAATCTTCCCCCTGGAAAAATATAAAGTATATTTAGCTTCAGAAAAAATCACTTTTAGAACTCTTCTAAATTTCAGGTATATATTCGTCAAATTCATTCATTCAGTTTTCAAAATTCGTGAACAAAGAAACAATACCTATGATAAATCACACTTTAGAACTGAGTTCCATACTTCTAAATTACCAAAATATTTAATAAAAAGTTCTAAAAATTTACTGAAACCAGGGATACTTGTAAGTACAGTCAGGCTCATCATTTTTGAAAATGGTATTATTTTAATTTAAAGATTGGTTTTAGCATATGATTCTGTATATTATATGTTGATATGCAATGACAGCCATTATTGACAGGTAGTCTTTTTCTAATTTGTATTATTTGTACCTATTTTGGATTTGCCTTTGCTTAGAGACTACAGATCTTGTTTTTGTAGATTGTAAATTTTCACATATATACAACCAAAAAGTGTTACATTTCTATCCGAAGTCTAATGGTTTAACTGTCGTAAGGCTCTACATGATCCAAGATCTTATCTCTATCTAAAAATTCATTGAACATGCTTCATTAGTCATTGCATTAGACCATGTATAACTGTAATGAATTTTAATACTTACCAACAACAATCTTAGATTTTACAATTATCAAATCATGGTTTTATGTCTGCATTCATAAAAAGATAAGTCAGTTATTCCTTAACTAGTTCGCTGCTCTTGTCGTTGATTTTTGACACTACCTTGTGATTAAATTTTTTATTGTACATTTAATCTTACCTTCATTCTAAGAAGATTATCAGTAAGAAAAGTGTTTCCTTGTATAAGTCTGATCAAGTCTTTGTAAATGGATCGCTGAACTGTAAATAGAAAAAAACTTGGGGAATAATGGATACTGAGCATTCATTATTATTTGTGGTGTATCAATTTTCATACTTTCATTGGTATAGGAAAACCACATATCTAAATGTTCAATGATGTATAAATTTTCAATAGGCTTGTAAGCAAGTCTTGTTCAAACCTAGAAATGAAATATCAACAAAAATACAATTTTTTCTCAATCCACGAAAAATTGGGACCCAGGAAAATAAAGAATCCACAGTACTCAATTGCAACACTCATATGCAGCGCCACCCTTAACAAATTCTTTGTTTGATGTTGCCTATCCATGCCTTGTATGTAGTTGGGTAGGTAGGTAGGGATTTTATTTTTTTTTTTGGCCACCAACATTAGTTACATGCTTTAGACAAGAAAAGGATGATAGAGTATGAAAAAAAATTTTAAAATAAAAGAAAAATGTGTCCGAGGCTTTGCAACGAAAATGGGACGGACTGACGGAAAGACCTACATCGGGGGCATAAAAAAATTTGAAACGATTTGTCTCTTTAAATTTTTTCGGGTAGGTTGGCAACATCAAACAATTTTAATTTTATTTTTGGATCAGTAACAAATATAGTGTTATCATAGAAGATTCATAATAGCATTCTTTGCACTTGTTTTGAAAGATCAATTTATCGTGATTGTATTATTTGACAAAAAATATGTTATTTTGCCTGTACCAAGTCAGGAATATGACAGTTGTTTTCCATTTGTTTGATGTGTTTAAGCTTTTGATTTTGCCATTTGATAAGGGACTTTCCGATTTGAATTTCCTTGGAATTTGGTATTTTTGTTATTTTACTTTTTTGTTATACGTGTATCCATAACATCATTCAGACTACATTATAAATTTAATACGTAACCATATATATTGTTGCAACAGAATTTATCCCTGATATTGCACATAATTCAATAGTCCCTGGTATTGCATGCGGTGCAATACAAATTAAACTTTGGTGTTGTCAATATATATATATCGGTAAACACAATAATGTTGCAATTTCAAAATGTTTTTGCAACAATAAAAGTGGTTTTGCACATTTGTTGTTGAAATTATAATCATGATTATGATTTTTATATCCTTTGTAGGTTATTAATTACACTAAGGAGCATTCTGACAAATTGGAACAAATAACAATATGCCTATAGTATTTATCATTAATTATCATTGGAATTAAAAGAACTTTGAATATAAATACTTGTGCTGAGGCAGCGTAGCGCAAACATCAACCAAACAATCATTGAATATACACTTACTTGATCCTCCCATAACTATAACGTATTTGTTTTTTAACAACTCTTGTGCATCCTTCTGAAGAAAGATGGCTGCCATCACTCAAGTCACCTGAAACAAAGATAAACATAACTTTAATGGAATATGAATGTATGTTATATTTGTAAGATTGTGGACATTTTCACAAAAAATCATTTGAGAAAAAGCACTTGTCAGTGATGAACAATTTCACTAATTCACAAACATTTTTTTTTCAAAAAGATTTCGTAAAATATGTATTTACTATCACTGGATCACATGAACTGGTTTATGCTGGATTGGATATTAAATACAGTACCTATCCTTTCTTTGCTCATAGAGAATCAGAATTCATTCAAGGATCTTGAAACAACTAAACAATGAAAAACTTGTCCACTCTATTTCAAGTTCGGTAAACAAAACGGAATGTATAATGTACATTATGCCAAAATCAGACAATTGCTCTGAACTCAGAATCACAAGCGGGAACACATCTTAATTTGATAAAACAAAATCTTTTTTAATTTTTTTCAAATGAATCATATCCTGTGGTTTAAAACACAACCCATTAGACACTTGTTTCATCCCATGGTAAAGACCTCCTAATAGTATGAAACAAGTGGCTGTGAACTAATCCCATTTGGGATTCCTAGAACGGAGCGATTTTCTGGTTTGGCATAATGTTAAGGCGGCCAAATCAGAAAATCTCTCTGGACTCAAAATCCCATAAGGGATTACCTTTGAACATGGCCCTCATTTTCACATTGTATTACATTGAACCTTAAGATCTGTTATCTTGCCTGGTTTAGTGTATACTTTGGTTGTTTTTGCAGTAATGAATACCCTGTATCTACTTGTTAACACTTAACAATCCAATTTTAGAATGCATTTTACCAGTTTTCTTTTCGTTTTCCTCTTATGGACGAGTTAGGAATGGGGAGAGAAGCGTACAAAACTTGACTGACTTTCCCAAAACTGTCCTCGCTGCTTTTTCATATTTCTCAGGAGTGGACAGTTTTATTGGTCAATGGACCTGCACAAAGGGAGTCCAGAAGTTGACATATTTGACGAAATATTTGACCTAGATATTTCAACTACTTGTGAGCAGGAACATAGATATACTGTTCCCAGTTGTGAGGATCTTCATAATGATTTCTGTCGAGATTTCTGTTTTCTTATAGTTGGCCGTTATTCTTTTCGAATAGGATATATATATAAAAATATATATATATAGATTCTCTACGTTTAAAGGGCTCTCTTAGTCTAATCTCTTTTTTGGGGAAGGGGGTCCTTATTCTCTATTTTGTAACCCCATATCCAGACCCTCCGAGCACATATCTCTGGAATTGACGTTTATATAGTTACTATTCCCAGATTATCTGCATTAATGCGCTTGTATTGCAAAGAGACCTGAAAATTAAAAAAATCTAAAATTTACTGCATTAGTGTTTTATTCTCTTGATTACACAAGAGACTCTGATTATACCACGGAATTGTATATCTTAAATATACAATTCATTGATTAAATGGTGGTATATAGTTATACTTACTCGATTGTCTTCCAGGTTTTTCACCACATAAGCCCGGGCAAGTGCGCGTCTAGGAAATCTAATATATTGAATATCTATTTACTTTACTGATAAAATATCAATAAGCCAAAGAACATCGATTACGATTGGTTAAACGATCAGCTAGATAGCTAATCGCTGACCACAAGTTTGAAACATTTCACCCATGCGGTGCTGTTTTAGAAAATAGTAATCGCAACAGTCTAAGAGGTTTTAAACAAAAAATGTATAAATGCAACAACCTAAGTTATTGGACAATTTTCAGGGCCTAAAGTAGGTGTTGCAATACAGGAATTATATCCCGAAAACTACGTTACCAAAAGTACGGATGTTTTTTTTTTAAATGGTTAGGAACTATAATATTTAGGTAAAACTGCAGCATCAGAGACATATAATACAATATATGTCTCTGGTAGCATACATAAAGCTCTAAAAGCAGGACATGCTCATGAGTACAAAATTTGGCAAAAAAACGGGCGATCTCAGATGCAAAGCAAATGCTACATATATGGTATAAAAAGTAATAATGGCGTGACAAATTGTTCGTAAAATAGACCGTGGCATAAAATTAACAAAGATTTATACAAATAGGTCTTATCCGATCAACTTGATAAGTGCGACTTTACAATAAATGACTGGTATAGAGATTGATAAGGCAGTCATCAACATCAACACTGCAGTAACTGGGGCTTTAACAGCTATTGTGCCACCTCAGAAAGGAAAACAAACGTAAACCAAAACTGAAATTTATGACCCACAATATATATTTGGAAATAAAGGCAAAGAAAAACGCTTTCAGCGAATGGAAGATCAACGCCGGGCAGACCAGAAATTCCGTCAAATCCTCTACTTTTAGATAAAAAGAAAACAACTTATGACCTTAGAAAACTATGCAGAGCCGAAAATGCGAAACTTCGGATAACAGAGAGACAAAAACTCATTGATGTAAGAACAATGGATAGTAAACTTTTCTATCAGCTCATAAAAAAACAAAGAGGGAAATTAAATCGATTTATTGATGAACTTCAAGTATAGGTGAATCCAGTCTGAAAGGTGACAACAATATCAGTCTAGAAGGTTGGAAGACCCATTTTGCCAACTTAGCAAAAGAATCAGATCCTATGAACTTTGATCAAGACTATTTCGATTTGGTTGACTCAGAATATCTTCAAATTATTCAAATATGTTTAGATGTCTATAAGCATGAAGAAATAACTACAGATGAGTTCGAAAAAGCCCTACATATATTAAATAGAAACAAGTCAGCTGACATTTTTGGTATTACCGCAGAATGTTTTCTATTCGGAGGGTGTAAACTTGACAGTACATTACTTAAAGTCATCAACGCAACATTTCAGCACTGTTATGTTTCGAACAAATTGAAAACTGGTACTCTTATTCCAATCTTTAAAAATGATAAAGGAGACATTTCGAATTCAAAAAATTATAGAGGCATTACCATTACTTCTTCATTAACAAAAATAATAGAAACTATACTTAAATTAAGGATAAATCCCAACATATTGGAAGATCAAAACCCTCTTCAGCGTGGTTTTACTGAAAACACTGCTCCACTTATAGCATCTCTGATTACGGAGGAATTCAAAAGAGAAAGTAAGGATTTAAAAAAAACAAAAATATACGGAATGCTAGACGCAAAATCTGCTTTCGATGTAGTTCGACATAAAAACCTAATCAGAAAACTATATCATTTAGGTATTTCAGAACAACGCATTTTAATGATTGATAACCTGTACAGACAAGGAGGAACGTTAAGTGCTGATTTGTACAAAGTTTATGTAAACCAACTTTTGAACAATCTCGTAGAATCTAAACTTGGTGGAAAGATCGGTTCCATAAGTTGCTTTGCCCCCACCTGTGCAGACGACATTTAGCAATAGTGGGAAATAACCCGGCCATTTGACGTGCAAGTCCTAATAAATATGGCATATGACTCAGTGACAGCCAACGTGAAGGATATCTGCTCCAACCAGAAAAAAGTGTTATTTTACCAATTAAAGCCAACAACAAAATTCAGCTGGAAGTACTATAGAAGAAAATCTTAAGAAAGCCAGAAGATCATTGTTTAGTCTGATGCATACAGGATTACATGGAGAAAATGGTCTAGACCCAGTGTCCGCAATAAGTATGCTACAAACATTTATATTTCCAATTATGTTTTATGGATTAGAAATTTTACTGCCTACTGGAAAAAATCTAGAACTACTATCAAAACAGTATAAAAGAATAATCAAGCAGATCCTCTCTTTACCCGTCAATGTAGCTGACCCAGCAATTTACGTAATATCTGGTTTACTACCCGCTGAAGCAGTCATACACAAAAAGGCACTTATCTTATTTGGAAGTATATGCAGAGCTGGATGCACCTCCACCGAATGGAAAATTGCAGAAAGACAATTAGGAATTAAAAGCACTAAAAGTAACAGTTGGTTTATTGGTATTAAAGCCGTATTCTTGAAATATAAAATTGGTGATCCGTACATGTACCTTTTCGATACAACTATATCCAAAATGCAATGGAAAAAATTAGTGAAACAGAAAGTCAGTAACTATTGGTCAAACCGGATTAAACAAGAAACTGCAATGTTTACATCTTTAAAATACATTGGAGTAATATATACAAATGTCCCCCAATAGCAAGAACCTTGTCAGTCAATATAAGGGACATCTCTAGAATATCAGTCCGACTAAAAATCTTAAATGGAACATACATTTTACAGGCGAAAAGAGTTGTGTTCAACAAAACTACCCCAGATGGTAACTGCTTGATGTGCAAAGAGAATGAAGAAACTATGAATCACTTCCTGTTGATATGTGAAGAACTAGAATGCATACGAAAACCACTCATGTTAGAAATAATAAGCATTTGTAGAATGCTGTTTGCAAGACATATAGTAGACGACACATTTGATATTGCAACAATTATAGTTAACCCATATTTTTACTGCATACAGCTGAATTCCTAAGCTCTCATATCAGACATTGATACCAAGTTAGAACCATTATGTAGAAGCTTGTGTTATAAGCTACATGCGAGAATATACAAACTACTAGACATCACAAAGAAGCCAAGAACTGTTAAATAACATTCCTTGATATGGACTGATCGCATCTTGGTACTGTCCAGTTTCCCTTAAATTATACTTATCAGCTTATAAATACATTATTTTTTAAAAGTATATAAATTATCTTAACTATTTCAAAATCCCTGCGATTCGGATTTTTTTAAAGTAGATAATAGACATTCTGCTTAACAGACATTTAGATTTTATAGCAGATAAAAACATTTTAGTTTAAACAAACCTTGACAATTTGTCTTACTGGTGGAGGATTGGTGATAGAACTGTAAATAGTTTTACTGTGTAGGACCGTCTTAATATACTGGTGGATAGTTGCCTTTTACTCGGATTGTGGAGGTGTGCCTAGATTGGCAGAAGATAGTAAATACAGATACAGATACATCGAGTCCTCAGCATCAAAAACAATAGCCAAAAACTATATACGCTCAATGATCACATACCCCAACAAGTTCAGATCAATACATATTTAGAAGTGCATTTACATTGTGTTAATTGTAAATGATTTTCAGAGCATAAAAGCACGTCACACGTTTTTACAGATAGATAATTTTAAAATACACCTAAGACTATACTTGCGCATTTTTTTCTTCTGAAACTAAATTATGATACAAGACCAAGTCCAAGATTTTTTCTAAACCGTTGGTTTGTAAATTTGAGATCTGAGCATATATTTTTAGTTAACTGCTTGAGTGGTCATATGCATGAATATGATCTAAATAATTGTACATCTCACTGCAACTATATTATGTACTCTCAGTCAAGTTATACTTGAATATCTGGAGGGTTTTCAGCATCGAAGGTACCATATATACATGTCAAATTTTCATTTTTCACTTTTTCTAATAATTAAAAACTAGAGGCTCTCAAGAGCCTGTGTAGCTCACCTGTATTTACTGATACTTTGGAAATCATGTAAAATAAGGTTAAAATCATAATTAATAGTATTAGATATTAGATATTATAATGATATCTAAGATAATAACAAAAAACTGCAAAATTTCTGTAAAATTACTAACTCAGGGGCAGCAACCCAACAACGGGTTGTCAGATTCGTCTGAAAATTTTAGGGCAGATAAATATAAATCTGATGAACATTTTTGCCACGTGTCAGTTTTGCTCTAAATGCTTTAGTTTCAGAGATATAAACAAAAAACTGCATTTTAACCCTATGTTCTATTTTTAGCCATGGCGGCCATCTTGGTTGGTTGGCGGGGTCATCGGACACATTTTTTTAAAACTATGTACCCTAATAATGATTATGGCCAAGTGTTATTAAATTTGTCTCAGTAGTTTCAGAGAAGAAGATTTTTGTAAAAGATTACAAAAATTTACGAAAAATTGTTAAAAATTGACTATAAAGGGCAATAACTTCTAAAGGGGTCGACTGACAATTTTGGTCATGACAACTTATTTGAAGATCTTACTTTGCTGAACATTATTGCTGTTTACAGTTTATCTCTATCTATAATAATATTCAAGATAATAACCAAAAACGGCAAAATTTCCTTAAAATTACCAATTCAGGGGCAGCAACCCAACAACAGGTTGTCAGATTTGTCTGAAAATTTGAGGGCAGATAGATCTTGACCTGATAATCAGTTTTATCCTGTCAGATTTACTCTAAATGCTTTGGTTTCAGAGATATAAGCCAAAATCTACATTTTCCCCCTATGTTCTATTTTTAGCCATGGTGGCCATCTTGGTTGGTTGGCGGGGTCATCGGACACATTTTTTTAAAACTATGTACCCTAATAATGATTATGGCCAAGTATTATTAAATTTGTCTCAGTAGTTTCAGAGAAGAAGATTTTTGTAAAAGATTGCAAAAATTTACGAAAAATTGTTAAAAATTGACTATAAAGGGCAATAACTCCTAAAGGGGTCGACTGACAATTTTGGTCATGACAACTTATTTGTAGATCATACTTTGCTAAACATTATTGCTGTTTACAGTTTATCTCTATCTATAATAATATTCAAGATAATAACCAAAAACTGCAAAATTTCCTTAAAATTACCAATTCAGGGGCAGCAACCCAACAACAGGTTGTCAGATTTGTCTGAAAATTTCAGGGCAGATAGATCTTGACCTGATAATCAGTTTTACCCTATGTCAGATTTACTCTAAATGCTTTGGTTTCAGAGATATAAGCCAAAATCTACATTTTTCCCTATGTTCTATTTTTAGCCATGGCGGCCATCTTGGTTGGAAGGTGGGGTCATCGGACACATTTTTTAAACTAGATACCCCAATGATGATTGTGGCCAAGTTTGGTTAAATTTGGCCCAGTGGTTTCAGAGGAGAAGATTTTTGTAAAAAGCTAACGACGACGGACGACGGACGACGGACGCCAAGTGATGAGAAAAGCTCACTTGGCCCTTCGGGCCAGGTGAGCTAAAAACCGTTGATTTTACGTTACACTTTGTGTCTGAATATTCCAAAAAATCGGCCGATTTTGACCGGGGATAAATTTGTTATCTAGTTCATATCCGTAGATTTTGACACCCTTCAGTTCTCTACATATTTAAACTTCGCCTCTGGGTGTACTGGAGTACTTCAGGATGTTAAAATCTCCATATTTTCGGATATGAACGTAGATAACAAATAATGGCCCGAAATTGGGGCGAACATCTGGTTTTTGATGTTATCTTTTAAATCATTTGTCCAACATTCAACAAACTTAGTTGGAGAATGCCTCGTGGAATGAAAAAAAACCTTTTGATAGACTAGTCAGTAGGTAAAAGGTCAAGGTCACAATACATATAAATACACAGCCATAATTCAGAAATTTCCTCATTATTGCTGGATATAGCAGGTTGGGGTGAAAAAAGACAATTTATTTTACTTCAAAGGGTAAAGGTCAAGGTACAGCAGCAATTAATAGACATGATTTTTTTTTGTTTACCACCATTTGACATAACAGAACATAGTATTAAAATAAATTAGTTGTAAGATATTTCTGCTGTAGATTATTGATATGGACTCCAAACAAATCCATCTGCTTGTGATTCTTCATGATATCAAGGCAAATTCTCTTTTTTTTTAACTCAGTTTATTTCACTTTAGTCACGTGTGGTTATTAGGAATGTTTTTTTAAGCATTGAATGAAAGACAATTTGAGAATTGTATATCATATTTCTTTTTTGTTTATTGTTGTATGCAGAAATCAGGTTGTTAGGTTTTGCTTACCAAAATAATAGGCAAAAACTTGAAAATCAATAAAAAATTGTCATTTAAGGGCAAAAACTCATATAACTAGTCATCCAACGGATTTAGTAATATTGGCTTTATTGTAGATCTTGTTCAACCTTGATCTTTTAAACAGTTCCTACCTATCTATTATATAATAGGCAAAATATTGGTTATATCAACTTCATTGCAACTTAAGTGGATAGTTGTCTCATTGGCAACCGCACCACAGTCTTATTTTTATTATTATATAAAACTAGAAAATTAATCAAAACTTATCCTTTAAAGGGCATTAGCTACAAGATATAAAAAAAAATAAAATATGATTTTTTTTTGTTCGATCATTAATGAAAATAAAATAGTGAAATAACAATTTGCTTTTAACAGCCAGTTTGGTTCAGTTTTGTCAAATTAAGCAAAGAAAGATCGCTAATGAATTATTCACTTGCAAGTGAATAATTCGACCTCATTGAATCCCTATTCATGTGAACTTTAATTGATCCTTATAGCTAGAGATGGGTTGCACATAAACTTGGCGTGTTCAGTTATTAAATGGAAAAGAAGGTAAACATTGCAAGTGAAACAAGGGTAAACCATATGGTTGACTTATTCGATCTAGAAAATCTCATTCTTATACAGGTAAAAAGGATTATTTACATATTTTTTTAACATATACTATGAAATAAAGCAGACCTAGAAAAATCCAATTGCACGAGTTCGCAATCTATTTTATATCTATGTTTATGTTTATATCGGGTTATATGACCGTCAGCAGTCTTCAGAGGTCATCTCGATGGTTAATTAGATGGCGTCTAGACTAAAATACACACGTAATGCTGAACATACTATCGAGTCTTCTGCATCGTTAATTGTTTATTTTAGACTTTTGATTATTTGGATATGCGTTTTAGTATGTAATAATCGAATATAAGAATTTTAGTCAAATCGGTGAACATGAATTTGACAGCTAATGCCCCTTTAAGAGCAACAACTACAAAACTTACGAATGGTTTTGGTTCTTATTATCATTTTTATACTGTATTGCAGTTTTGCTGTTTACACAGTTTTACATATCTATTACTTTTTTTTTTAGGTAAATGGCAAAAACTCCAAAATTAGTAGGAATTGTAATATTACAGGTCAGTAACTACTATAAATTGTCATTCATTTAATTCGGTCATAATGGCATTTTTGTAGATCTAGTATAGCTGATTATTTTTGCTGTTTAAGTTTCTACTTATCCGTTATAGTTTTCAAGATAATAAGCAAAAACTCATTAATTAGTCAAAAACTATTATTGAAGGGCAAAAACTCATATAAAGAGTTATCTGGTAAGTATTGGTGGAAATAGAAAAGAGGTAGAAATTGACATTATGAGCATTTTTGCCCTACTAGATTTTCTCTAAAATGCCCCGTCATATTTATCTATCTATTATAGTTTTCTTGACACTAGTATTAGACAATAAATGCAGTTTACCCTTATGTTCTTTTTTAAGCCATTGTGGTTAATTGGCATGAAAAAAAAACCCACACATACTTTATACTAGATACCCTAAGGATCATTCAATTAAATATTGGTTGAAATGGGTCCACTGGTTTCAGAGAAGATTTTTGTATAAGTTTATGATGACAACAGACCCTTTGGGCCAGGTAGGCTAAATAGACTAATTGTTTGTTTGACATCTTTTAAGCCATAAAACAAATCTTTACTATTCTTTTGTGGATAATGTGCATTGGAAAGAAAAAGACCCTCTTGATTTTTAGGTCAAAGGTCAAGGTCACAACATCAATTAATAGACTGAAATTGGGGCAAGTCATTTTTGTTTTCCACCATATGACATAAATTGTCAGCAGACTTTACAGTCAACTTAACACAAACATCTGTTACTTCTACTACAAATCCATAAAGATTGCAATTGGTGTATGCACCCATGGTTCTTTTGTGATTTTCTTATTCTTCATAGTTATATAAAGTAACCTTCACAATGAACAAATGTACTACACCAGAAAAGAAAGGAATAAAAACACTGAAATATATATTTGTTCTTTATTATTCTGTTTGTAACTTGTAAAATGCATGAACATATATATGTACAACATTGGCAAAATACATCCGGTAAGTTTTGAATGGTGCCGTTCCTAAAATTTCTACATTAGGCTTTATCACTGTTTAAAACTATTTTTTGCTGCATGGTAACTAATGTAATGAAAACAATACAAGATACTTGTTTGACTCAGAGGTATTTGCTTTATTACTTTATAATTATAAATGTTGACAGTATGCATTTAAGAACTAATAAATTACAAAAAGCATGCATTTCAAGAAAAAATAAAAGTATTTGTAATATTGCTACCAATATAAAATAAAGTTGCTTATCAATAGAGCCTGGAGATATTTTACCAAAATTGAAAAAGGGTCATATTTGTACCAAAATATTATTTTTTGAGAAAATGTGAATGTTTTTTTAAAACAAGGCTTTTGAAAAATAAAAAGAGCAAAATATACACAAAATTGTTGGGTAAGTTCTTAAAGAGATTGTTGCTGAATATTTTGAAACTATTTACCACATTCACTTGAGTTGTCTACCTTGAATTGTGACATTTATAAATTATAAGCCTGGTATCTTTGATGAGTTTTTATAATCCATCAATATATTCTCAAGATTGCCTTCCTTTAAAAAACTAGTCATTAGTGTTTTCTTTATAAGTATTATCAATGGTGGGGATCAGCCAATGTTTTTAATGGAAGTGTTGCCTAGAAACTTCACATTCAATTTATTGACATATTTTTAGAAGTCAAGACTTTTTTGTCAGTTGCAAGGTAAGATAAAAGAAAAATAACATAGCAGAACATAGTATTAGAAATAAATTAGTTGTAAGATATTTCTGCTGTAGATTATTGATAAGGACTCCAAACAAATCCATCTGCTTGTGATTCTTCATGATATCAAGGCAATTTCTCTTTTTTTTTTTAACTCAGTTTATTTCACTTTAGTCACGTGTGGTTATTAGGAATGTTTTTTTAAGTATTGAATGAAAGACAATTTGAGAACTGTATATCTTATTTGTTTTTTGTTTATTGTTGTGTGCAGAAATCAGGTTGTTAGTTTTTTGGTTCAAATTGTTTTATGTTTGTCATTTCGGGGCCTTTCATAGTTTGGGTTTTGCTCATTGTTGAAGGCCCTAAGATGACCTATAGTTGCTAACTCCTACTTCGTTTGATCTCTGGTGGATAGATGTCTAATTGGCAATCATACCACATCATATCTTTTTTTATATCAAGTATTGGTTTTAAAATATTGAACAAAAATATGACAATTGTGTCCATAGGACATCATGCCCCACTAGCAGTATCACAATTTCTTATTCATTGAACCTCGCAACCTTATTCAAAAACCATAATTTGGCATATATTTAAATAATAAAATTGAATCACAATGAACATGTGTACATGTACTTTGCTTTAAGTAGATGTGACCACAGCTTCATGGTAAACTTCATTAAACAAAAACCTTTCAGCTGATATGGGAGGGATAGACTCTTTTACTTTCTTCAACTAATATCTGTAGTACACATGTATTTAAAAATAAAAGAAGAATGTGTCTGAGGACAGGAATGCCCCTGCTCATGCTGCAAACAAACGAAAATAGGACAGATGGACAGACGGAAAGATGGACGTTCAAGGGCAACACTTAATGCCCCGTCGCCTACGGCATGGGCATACAAATACTGATATCTCATAAAACTATCACATTTGCACGTTTAAAAGCATTCAAGTTACTTAAACAACACATGCTGCATGATGATTTCCTCATGCTATGCCTGCAGATTCTCTGATGATGGATGTATGTATTATAACATGGTTATTGTCATATGAACTAAAACTATATTGACACAACCTATGAGGAAGGAATATCTGATCCAAATTAGACCTTATAATAGCCAAATCACCTTTATAAATAATACAATGTTGTGCATGACTGCATAAAAAGCCATAAAACCACACATTCATAGGAATTAAATTGCTTCTGGAGGATAACAACAAAATTTCCCCTCATGTATCTTCTGTAAAAGTTACAGCAGAAAGAATAGATATTTCTCCACCATTTAGCTATTGCCATTCTTTGTTGTTTCTGAACAAGCTACGAATATCTTAAAATGCCAACAACAACCCATAAGTTACATTTTGCATTGACAAATGTTAATATTTGTTGTCTCGTATATGCAGATTAGGATGGGAATAATAGTTATGTCTTGACGTCCGTGAATAATTATTATCTTTCTCATATGAACGATCATCATGAGGAGGATAACTCCTGCTAGGCTTTAATGTCCGATGGTATGGCTTTGATTCCTCTCTTCTATTGTGATAATGTGAATCATTATAAGATCTTTCTCTGCCATAATTGTTTCTCCTGTCATAACTACTTGATCTTTCCTCGCCATAATTGTTTCTCCTGTCATAACTACTTGATCTTTCCCCGCCATAATTATTTCTTCTGTCATAACTGCTTGATCTTTCTCCATCATAATTATTCCTTCTGTCAAAACTATGATATCCCCTTTGATGACTTTCATCAAATGCATGAGATGAATTATTCAGTTGCAGAGTCTGAAAATCATTTTGATATTGTTTTTCTTCTTCCACTTCCATAGTACTTGATGAAGCCTTGTCGTGTTTTTTGTGTCTCAGCCAGGGTTTATATCGGTCACTGTTTTTTTTATTGTTGTTCTTTTTCTCCTCTTTAAGAACTGGTGGATGATCACCTATCACATAATCAGGGTTACTACAAAAAAAAAACAATCAAGTTATATAGCTTTAAATAAAGTTAAGAATAAAAGCTAGTGACTGCAAATCTGTAATACTGTAAACCAACCACTTTCGCAACTTTCATGAGTAGAAAAATAACACAAAGGAGTAGGTTCGGTAAGAGCCCTTTTTGGCCCCAAAATATAGCATTTTTACAAATTTATAGAAATGTAAACCTTCAACTGTCTATTGGAAAGTAGAATACTTTTGTTCCATAAATATGGGCTGTTTTTGACTATACAATGCACATGCATCAGGTACTAGCATCATAAATTCATGCAAAACTACTGAAATCTTCACACTTTCAGCATTTGTGCTAATTTTAAGACATTTTTGTCTAAATTAAAGTGGCCGCATTTGTGTTCAGTCTTAATATTTAAATATATGTTGTATTTGATGACAATACATAACATATATAAAGGTTGAGACTGAACACGAATGCGGCCACTTACATTTTTGACAAAAACCATCTGAAAAGTGAAGTTTTAAGGCATATTTGATAGATTTTTCATATTTAAGCTTGAATTAAGGCGTCATTAATGGCCAAATCAGTTCAAATATTTTACATAAACTAATTAAATCGACTGAAGTAGACACTTGAGTGTTTAAAAAATGTCAAAAATCTTTCATCAGATGTAGTTCGAATTTTAGGCCAAAACTAGCCCTTACGGGACCTTCTCCTTTAAATTGTCCAGAATATGTGAAATTTGGGTCTTCCTTTTTTATATATATCAAGAAAATGGGAAGATCGCGAAAAATAAGTTGCAGCAAAGTTGGCTAGAAAGAACTTATTTTGAAATAAAGTATGCATGAAAATGAGTTGGTTTACAGAATTTTTATGCATGACATTACAAAGAAAGAGACCAAGTTTACTTTGCAGCCTTTTTCACTACCGTAATGGGCCTCATGAAGTCCGCAACCAATTTTTTGCCAAGGGAATTCAGAAAAAAAAGCTTTTTGTCATTTGTTGAAAACTTTGTGAAACTCTAGTAATTTCAAATCTTGTGTGAATGTTCACAAATGTTCATAGAAAACCCTGTTTTCCCTAATTAAGTAGAAGTTGAAACTGCTTGTAAAATCATGAGTGTAAAAATAAGCAAAAATCACAAAAAAAAACAATTGGAAAAGTTGTGTTCAACATTAACCAGAAATAAGAATATACATGTTAATTTCCAGCAAATATGACTAAATAATTTCTGAATTTTTTTAAAGTTTGAAAGTAAAATGTTTTGTCTTTTAGTAAAATTGTGTTTAAAAACATATTCATCACATTAATGTTTAAAGGACGTTTAACTAAATCAATACACATACAGCAGTATGAAACAACAAAATGGAAAGAATAACTGATTATGTTTTTTAGTTTATACAGCGTTATGCATAAGCCGATTCCCGGCTGACTTCCACCCTTTTTTCTTGCTTATAGTACTCTATAATCCTCACCCCTGCCTGGCAGTTTTAATTTTGGAGTAAAATAATGCGGACAATACAAGACTGAATTCAGTAATAGGAAATTGTTTCGAGTTGTTTTTATTATACTGTCAGGTTTTGGTCAAATTTTGTTTCATTTAATACATTGTATTGCATTGTTGTTTTGGATATTTTGTTTTTACCATTCATCTTAACTTACAAATGAAGTTTATTGGACAAGCACAGGGATAGTACAAAAAGGTCAAATACAGGCACTAGATTCTTAAAATGTTGCAAAAATTAAAAGAACTACCATAAAAAAGTTATTCTAATATGAATTTAGGAAGTATACATTTAAACAAACAAATGGAATACCATAAAACATGTGCCATTGTGTAGTTTCTACGAAGTTGAGTTTCATGAAAATCATGAATTTAATTGTTTCTTTAACACTTTTTTTCCATAATAGGTACATTGATGTGCATTGTTTTTGAAATTTTTGCTTGATTTTTGGTCCAATAATGTTTCATTTAGTTAACTTGTGGTATATTTTTGATTAGTTTGTGATTTCTCTACCAATCCTGTAAGTTAACTGTGCATGCACAAAATGTTTTTACTCATAAAGGATCAACTTTTTTTTGGTTCAAAAATTAAAGTGAAAATAAGAGAAAAGATTTGATTTGGAATATAAATTTAGGAAGTTAAATGTTTTACCAAAAATGCCACATATCATTCTGTTGTTTCAGAAGAGTTTGGGCTCATAAAAACTAGTCTATAATTTAAGTAACATATACTGGTGGTCTTTTCAAAAGTATTAAATGACTTTTTCATGGAGTTGTATACATCTGTATGATAGCTGTTTTATGGTTTAAATTTTAAAGACAAAGATTAAACTACTGTATAATAATGATATTTCATTATTAATCTGTAGTTTTGTGATTCTGTTGACAATTGTAAACAAATGTCATCAAAAATTAAACCAAAATTATTGAAATATACTGTGTAAAATTGTAAATCTTCATGTTTTTTTTAACTTACTGTTTCCGTGTGAGTAAATCATCAATATAATTTTGCCTTTCAATTGGATGACCTCTGGCTTGTTTGAAAGCTGCAAAAAAAAAAAGCAAAATATTGTTGTATTTCTATTTTCTACATATTTAAAACCTGTCTATCAAGTCAATTGATGTACTTGTTTAGACTTGGGATGATTTAGTGCTAGCCATATGGAATAAATTCATGTCTATTGATGATACTATAGATCAACCTCTTCATGTCTTTTATGGTTTTATTGTTTAAGGACTGTTGCAAGAATGTTGACCTTTGTGCTTTTATTGTTTTTTGACTATTTTCTTTTGTGGTTTATTGTTTTATGATGGTTGTCTTTTTGGTTTTATTGTTTTAAGGTTGTTGTCATTTAGAGTTTTATTGTTGTCTTTTACAGTTTTATTGTTGTCTTTTGTGGTTTTATTGTTGTCTTTTGCGGTTTTATTTTTATTTTTTTGTCTTTTGCAGTTATATTGTTTTAGGATTGTTGTCTCAGTGCAATATAACCCACATTTCATTTGTACTTTATCAAAGTGAGCTATGCATGTTTTCAGATATGGCTGTTTGTCAGGATCAACTGTATTAAAAAAAAGAATGATCTAACTACAAAAAAATATATACATATAGGATGATTCTTTCTTTATCAATTAGATTTCGATCAATATGAGGTTGTTTCAACATGAAAAAAGAAGAAAAGTGTATTGATTATCAAAAATTGTATTTATCTTTGCCAATACTTTTAAATTTATAGTTACTGAAATGTTTTCCTTCTACATTTAAATGTAAGGTATCAAAGACTACTTATTTTATGTGTTGCTTAAAAAAAGAACACAATATTTCAAAAATGTTTTACAACACAATGACTTGAGTGTGTAGGTAAAGGTATTATCTTTGGTAAGCTTGCTTGCTAGCTGAACCATGAAATCATTATTAGTTTAGGTACCACCTTCCTTTGGGCGGAGTCAATTATTATGGTTAGGTAGAGAACCAATCAAAAGTAAGGACAGTGAATAAACATTGTGAAACAAGTTTAGAAATATGTTTTCAATCTAAATTTAAAATATACCGGTAGTGCCAATTATAAACTAATTCAGTAGCATGCTGTACATGTAGGTGTGTTTGATCTGTCAATTTAATTTTAATCAAAACAATACAATACCATTATTACAATAGAATGGTGATAGGAATATCTCAAAGATTTGACCCGACTAAATTTATTGTTACACCTTCAGTAGCAACCCCTCCTTAAAAAAATCAACGACAAAAAACATACACATTAAAATCAAAGATAATGATATCCTTATTTTATATATAAACATATATAATAAGGATTTGAAAGTTTTTTTTTTAAATCGATGTAATCATAACATTCTATAAAATTACACATGTAAACAATTAGTTATAAATGAACAGAGGTAATTGATTAAAATGAAATAGACAAATCAAACACACCCATATTTTTGAACTAACTTGTAAAACTGGTTTCACAATATTTATATTCTGTTCCTTCTTTTGATTCCCCGCTTAACTATTGACTCCGCCCAAAAGAAGGTTGTACCTTAGCTAATAATGATTTCATGGTTCAGATAGCAAGCATGCTAACCAAAGATACTACCTTTACCTACACACTCAAGTCCATGTACTGTAAATTATTTATTTTTTGAGTGTTTATTATCTTAAATCAATTACCATCCATAGCCTCGGTAGGATCAATGCCTAATCTTTCAACCATGTACCTAAAATAAAAATAAAATTAACAGTAGACTGAAAAAGTTATAAATTGTTCTAAAGCATCATATGCCTCATCAATTACAAAGAAGTTTGGATAATCAGAAATCCTTTCAATGTGAAGCAAGATAAATTGCTGTCTACTTCACCTTATCAGGAACTTTCTTCAAATCAGTTACATAAAGATTTATTGAATTCTAAAGAATATATATTCAAACCTGTCCTAACAGTCATCTCTTGTCAGTGGCCACCTTTCTGTAAGATCGTTTTGACCAATGGCCATGATTTATATATTTAAACTTGTTTAAGTGGTCACTTCTCTAATGAGGTAAGCCGTCACCTATTTTCATACAAAATCCCCATTCCCACTCCTAATAGCAGCCATTTTGAACAGTCATGAAATCATGTTGTATCTTAAGTATGCCATATTACATGATGGAATATATTTTCATGTGTTTATATATATAGGGGTTAAATGATAAAAAACATAAAGAAATCCAAAATCAATTAGATATTTATCAATGATTCTCGTTGAGAGATGAATATGCCTCATAGCCCATGATTTCTGACTGTGCCAATTCCATGCATCCCTTAATCACTTTATTACTTCATTTCCTGTCATTATAGAGGTTAGACATTATCAGTGAAGTATCCAGATAACATACTTATATTTGTATTGGAAATCGACTTTGGATTTCATTAATATTCGACATAATGCAATCAAACATGATGAGAAGTTTTATATCACATACTTTAAGCAATGCCAGAAAAATTAGAATTCAGTTTTATTTAGTTTTCTTATTTGGATAAATTTCCTCAACCAAAAATGAATTCCTATTGATGGTGTAAAAATAAACTGGATTATCTTAATCTATTGTGTACTATTCTTACCTACAAACAATGTAACCAGTCCTGTTTACTCCATGTGTACAATGTACACCTATTACCATTTCTAAAAAAAATTAATAAACTGCATAATGAAGTTTCAAGGCATAGATGCTTAGCGTTAAAAATGATTTACTACTTGAACAGAAATATTATTTTACATTTAAAAAAAAATTATGACATGAAATCAAAGAATACACGGAAAATTGTCAGTATACTGTTGCCTATGCAGTCCATGTCTGTCTCATATCTATAGTGGGGTCACATGCACATGCCAATCTTTGGAGCTTGTGTTGATGGTAAATTTGAAGTACAATCTAAAACTAGAGGCTCTCTAGAGCCTGTGTCGCTCACCTGACTCTACTTTGGTTTTAGAAATCATGTAAAGATAGATAAAAATCATAACAGATACCCAAATAATGATTGAGGCCAAATTTTGATTAATATTGGTCCCTTTATTTAATAAAATATCCTGGTGGCCATCTTGAACAGTAAATCGGCAACAAAGTAGAGACACTTGGTCACCTCTTCATAAGGAACATTCATGCCATGTTTGGTTTCATTCCATTCAGTGGTACTCTAAAAGAAGACATTTGTATGTATTTCCCATAGGGTCCTATGTTAAAAAAAGCCCCCCGCAGGCGGCCGTCTTGGATGATGGATCGGCTACAAAGTAACAACACTTGGTCAGCATCTCATAAGGAAGATTCATGCCATGTTTGGTTTCATTCCATTCAGTGGTTCTCTAAAAGAAGACATTTGTATGTATTTCCCATAGGTCCTTTGTTAAACTAAGTCCCCTGCTGGCGGCCATCTTGGATGATGGACCGACTGCAAAGTAACAACACTTGGTCAGCACCTCATAAGGAACATTCATGCCATGTTTGGTTTCATTCCATTCAGTGGTTCTCTAAAAGAAGACATTTGTATGTATTTCCCATAGGGTCCTATGTTAAACTAAGTCCCCCGCTGGCGGCCATCTTGGATGATGGATCGGCTACAAAGTAACAACACTTGGTCAGAACCTCATAAGGAACATTCATGCCATGTTTGGTTTCATTCCATTCAGTGGTTCTCTAAAAGAAGACATTTGTATGTATTTTCCATAGGGTCCTATGTTAAACTAAGTCCCCCGCTTGCGGCCATCTTGGATGATGGATCGGCTACAAAGTAACAACACTTGGTCAGCATCTCATAAGGAACATTCATGCCATGTTTGGTTCCATTCCATTCAGTGGTTCTCTAAAAGAAGACATTTTTATGTATTTCCCATAGGGTCCTATGTTAAACTAAGTCCCCCGCTGGCGGCCATCTTGGATGATGGATCGGCTACAAAGTAACAACACTTGGTCAGCACCTCATAAGGAACATTCATGCCATGTTTGGTTTCATTCCATTCAGTGGTTCTCTAAAAGAAGTCATTTGTATGCATTTCCCATAGGGTCCTATGTTAAACTAAGTCCCCGCTGGCGGCCATCTTGGATGATGGATCGGCTACAAAATAACAACACTTGGTCAGCACCTCATAAGGAAGATTCATGCCATGTTTGGTTTCATTCCATTCAGTGGTTCTCTAAAAGAAGACATTTGTATGTATTTCCCATAGGGTCCTATGTTAAACTAAGTCCCCCGCTGGCGGCCATCTTGGATGATGGACCGACTGCAAAGTAACAACACTTGGTCAGCATCTCATAAGGAACATTCATGCCATGTTTGGTTCCATTCCATTCAGTGGTTCTCTAAAAGAAGACATTTTTATGTATTTCCCATAGGGTCCTATGTTAAACTAAGTCCCCCGCTGGCGGCCATCTTGGATGATGGATCAGCTACAAAGTAACAACACTTGGTCAGCACCTCATAAGGAACATTCATGCCATGTTTGGTTTCATTCCATTCAGTGGTTCTCTAAAAGAAGTCATTTGTATGCATTTCCCATAGGGTCCTATGTTAAACTAAGTCCCCCGCTGGCGGCCATCTTGGATGATGGATCAGCTACAAAGTAACAACACTTGGTGAGCACCTCATAAGGAACATTCATGCCATGTTTGGTTTCATTCCATTCAGTGGTTCTCTAAAAGAAGACATTTGTATGTATTTCCCATAGGGTCCTATGTTAAACTAAGTCTCCCGCTGGCGGCCATCTTGGATGATGGACCGACTGCAAAGTAACAACACTTGGTCAGCATCTCATAAGAAACATTCATGCCATGTTTGGTTCCATTCCATTCAGTGGTTCTCTAAAAGAAGACATTTGTATGTATTTCCCATAGGGTCCTATGTTAAACTAAGTCCCCTGCTGGCGGCCATCTTGGATGATGGATCGGCTACAAAGTAACAACACTTGGTCAGTACCTCATAAGGAACATTCATGCCATGTTTGGTTTCATTCCATTCAGTGGTTCTCTAAAAGAAGTCATTTGTATGCATTTCCCATAGGGTCCTATGTTAAACTACCGTAAGTCCCCCGCTGGCGGCCATCTTGGATGATGGATTGGCTACAAAGTAACAACACTTGGTGAGCACCTCATAAGGAACATTCATGCCATGTTTGGTTTCATTCCATTCAGTGGTTCTCTAAAAGAAGACATTTGTATGTATTTCCCATAGGGTCCTATGTTAAATTAAGTCCCCCGCTGGCGGCCATTTTGGATGATGGACCGACTGCAAAGTAACAACACTTGGTCAGCATCTCATAAGGAACATTCATGCCATGTTTGGTTCCATTCCATTCAGTGGTTCTCTAAAAGAAGACATTTTTATGTATTTCCCATAGGGTCCTATGTTAAACTAAGTCCCCCGCTGGCGGCCATCTTGGATGATGGATCGGCTACAAAGTAACAACACTTGGTCAGCACCTCATAAGGAACATTCATGCCATGTTTGGTTTCATTCCATTCAGTGGTTCTCTAAAAGAAGTCATTTGTATGCATTTCCCATAGGGTCCTATGTTAAACTAAGTCCCCCGCTGGCGGCCATCTTGGATGATGGATCGGCTACAAAGTAACAACACTTAGTCAGCACCTCATAAGGAACATTCATGTCATGTTTGGTTTCATTCCATTCAGTGGTTCTCTAAAAGAAGACATTTGTATGTATTTCCCATAGGGTCCTATGTTAAACTAAGTCCCCCGCTGGCGGCCATCTTGGATGATGGACCGACTGCAAAGTAACAACACTTGGTCAGCATCTCATAAGAAACATTCATGCCATGTTTGGTTCCATTCCATTCAGTGGTTCTCTAAAAGAAGACATTTGTATGTATTTCCCATAGGGTCCTATGTTAAACTAAGTCCCCCGCTGGCGGCCATCTTGGATGATGGATCGGCTACAAAGTAACAACACTTGGTCAGCACCTCATAAGGAACATTCATGCCATGTTTGGTTTCATTCCATTCAGTGGTTCTCTAAAAGAAGTCATTTGTATGCATTTCCCATAGGGTCCTATGTTAAACTAAGTCCCCCGCTGGCGGCCATCTTGGATGATGGATCGGCTACAAAGTAACAACACTTGGTGAGCACCTCGTAAGGAACATTCATGCCATGTTTGGTTTCATTCCATTCAGTGGTTCTCTAAAAGAAGTCATTTGTATGCATTTCCCATAGGGTCCTATGTTAAACTAAGTCCCCCGCTGGCGGCCATCTTGGATGATGGATCGGCTACAAAGTAACAACACTTGGTCAGCACCTCATAAGGAACATTCATGCCATGTTTGGTTTCATTCCATTCAGTGGTTCTCTAGAAGAAGTTCAAAATGTAAAAAGTTAACGCCGACAACGGACGACGACGGACGACGCCGGACGACGACGGACGCCAAGTGATGAGAAAAGCTCACTTGGCCCTTCGGGCCAGGTGAGCTAAAAAGGCATGAAATGTTGATACTTTACGACGATTCCAAGCAGTTTATTATTTCTTTTAGAAATTCTGATTGCAGTATGTTATAAATGAAATTTGAGAGTTCAAGTCAATTTGGTGGACATGAATCTGGAATGATGTATGTTCAATGTTGTAATACCGAATAAATCATAAACAGCAAAAATTTCAGTCATCACAATGTGATTCAGCCTAAATGTGAAAGTGGTGTCATCCTATGTAAATGGACGGCCATTTGATATTTGGGTGATTTTTTTGTGAAATGTCTTTTCATTTTCATCTGTTGCTACACATGCTTAGTTTCCGCAGCTTTGCAGCAAAAAAAAAATATTTTCACTTTTGTACACAACTGTTTTACAGATATTCATTTTTATTCTGTCTTGTGCAAAGTGATTCATTCTCATCTCTAACCAGCTATTCAGATAATCATTTTCAAAATACTCTCACCCACACCCCCTCCACCTTTTGATTTTACCATGGGTAGGCTCTATATATTATTTTATATACTTGTCCATGCCTACATTTTTAAATTTCCATTAAACCACAACCTGGCTTAAACCATTTCTTATTTAATGCTGCATTCATTCAGCTGCATTTTTTTTATATTCATTTGTACCTCTTTGCCTATACTTCAATTGACTATAAACATTTTTCAACAAATATATCATTCATTATACACTATATCTTACCTTCCTTTTTATTCCTCTTGATGAATTTCTCAACAACGTCGAAAAATCTAAAATGAAAACCATGACAGAGAAATTAATCATAAATTGAGTCTATTTATAGTTGCTGGGAATTTTCAAATACTGACCTCAAATTCTAAAGAGGCCCTTCTCTTAGAAACATCATCAAACAATTTGGGTAAGGATAAGATTTAAGATTCAAAACAAAAACCAAACTTTCCACAAAATATGGCCTATTTCAAGCTGTCTTAGCGTTAACTTTTTATCTAGTGACCTAGTTTATGTGGGGTCTCAATCTCACAAAAAACCGTTGTCAACTATTATTTGGTAAAATCTAATTCACAGTTCAAAAGATTATGCAGAGACACAAAGCACCAGATAAGAATTCACAAATTAAGGATATAACCATGGGGTGGTTTAATGACTGAGACCACATTCAATTTAAATGATCCTGCAACATCAAATAAATAAATGACAATGTTATACTACACTTGCCAATAACTATCTATAGTTGTCTTATTGGCATAAGAACAATTAGATTGAAAGCAAAGAAAGTGGCAAGCTACATTAACGTCAAAACGAATGTGAAAAGGTGTGTTCACTCATCAACAGAAATGAAAAAAAAAAACTCTTTTAAAACTAAAATAATACTTGAATGTTAATGTTTAATTTTATTTACATAAATCTGGTCGTTAGTTGTCCCTTATTAGAACTTTTGGTTTCCAATGCTTTTCAGCTACATAATTGATTTGGCCTTTCACTGTTCCAACTGATTTAATTCACGCACCACTGATTAGTCATATGGAGACAAAACCCGTGTTTGTCGTACTAACAATGTTCTCGTTAAGGCACGTATATACTCGCCCTGGACACATGGTTTTCTGTCTGGACGTGCCATTGCATGAACACGTGTGTCAGAGGAACGCTTCCTGATAACACTAGTTGAGTCTTCTTATCATCATAATTATCCCTCAGCTATCAAAAAGCTACGCTAATTGGATAAATGCAGAGAAGATCGAAATCTGTTTATATCAGCACGTTTACCTTTTTGAGCAACGAACAATTCCAACAGGCACCCAGATCAACTATTTGCTGTAACGCTCTATTTATAGAACCAAAGGAGATTACCATTTATAAATATTACAAAAATAGATTTTATAGATAAGGGTAAATAACGCACACGATAACGACTAGAAGGGTTGAGAACGCATGGTTTTGACATATAATTGGGTTTTCCTTTGCATGCATTGGGTTTTTGAACGCTGCAATTGTCAATTGCATTGGGTTTTCAATTGTTTTTATTGCGAGATCACGCAAATACCCAGCTTATCTGGAGCTCTGGACTCAGACAAATGTTGACATCCAGATGTCTGAAAAGCCACATCATCATCATAGTACGAGTTATTCTTTACTTATTGGCTTAAAAGTTAAAATATGCAGTTGTTGTTCCGTACTCAACTCTATCAAATAATTTTTTATTGATACTTTAGTCGAGGAGAACATGATTATTTTGTAATAAATTGCTTTCAACTAATTTTTAGTAACTATGAGTACTCTTACATCTGATCTTTGTGTTTTTGTATTTATGTTAAGTTGTTATTGTTACTTCGTGCCAATCTGATGGATCAAGACATTTCCAACTGTATTTTTAGTTTCTTTTAATGTTGTGCTGTTACACCATGTCCCAGGTTAGCGGAGTGGTGAGCACTCACCAACATGTTTAACCCCATCAAATTCATGCTGATTCAGTAGTTGTAATTGCTTGCTGTCTGTCACATTTTGTTTATCATTTATTGTTTTTTCATAAATCAAGCCCTTTGTTTTCTGATTTGAATTGTTTCACATTTTCTCATTTCTTGGCCTTTTTGCTCATTGTTGAAGGATGTACGGTGACCTATAGTTTCTCACATTTACATCATTTGTACTCTGGTGGACAGTTGTCTCACTGGCAAATTTACCACATCTTAATTTTATAAGTAACAAGACATACACCTAAATTTACCTGTAAACAACAGCATCTGTTGGTACAACATGTCCATAAGTATAAATCTTCTCATGTTCAACATTTTTTCTACAAAATTCCTGCAAAATTCAAAATTCTTAAAAATAGATTCTCAGTAAAATGTTTTCTCTAGGTGACCATTGAGACATGAAATATTTGACTCCTGACCTACCAGGTTTGTATTTCATAATCTAGGTTGTTCAAAATGTCAACTATCCATTTGAAGGATGATATATTCAAACTTACAACTGAATTATAAATTTTTCAATGTAAAGTTGGACACGAACAAAGGTAACTCAAAACTGGAAGTGGGTTTGAAGAAAATTTTGTTCTTTTCTTTCTGACCTTTTTCAAATACCATGGGGTCCAACAAACTTGGTATTGAATAGACATGGCCTAAACATTTATATTAATATATGAATATGTTTTAACTGTCTGCTTTATGTTTGGAAAAAATTATTAGAAATGAATTACTTTTTAGCCATATTTTGAATTATCTTCATATTTTTTAATAACATGTATTTTCTTCCTCGTTAATGTATTAACGACATACTAGGTACATGTATTCAGTAACTGACAAAATCTTTATAAATCTGGATGATGAACAAAGCATATTTGAGCAAGTTATAGAATTCTGCACAATGTTTGTCTTGGACAGAAACGCAAATACAAGTATTTGTTTTAAACAATAGCTGTGAAGTTTGGTCATTTTAAGATTTGAGAATAGGGAGAACCAATAACACAATAGATATGTGATAAGCCAATGATTACTTCAAGGCAGAGATGACAAAATTCACAAACTGTAAATTGGGGTGATTTAGAGCTTGATTCCTGGGACTAAACAATTGTCTTCCTGACACTGGAGACTATATATGAGGGGGTTATGTAGGTGTGCTCATTTCCCAAATCCTGTCAAAAAAAAGACCACACTTCCCACTTTTTTAACCCCCTATATCCCATTCCCACATCCCCACATTGTTATACCCCATTTACCCACATCACTGTTACCATCCCCTATATCCCACATCCCCACATTGTTATACCCCATTTATCCACATCACTTTTATCATCCCCTATATCCCACATCACTTTTATCATCCCCTATATCCCACATCCCTAAAGCATGTCATCCTCTCATATATAAGCCTCTTTATGTCTTAATCATTTGTAATGTTGTTACGTGATGTCTCTCTGAAGTTTACATCACATCTCCTTTTGTTGATTAAATTACTTACTCCTTTGTGATAGTATTTATCAGTATATGTTATATCTATAACTAGTCCTAATTCTTTTCCTTTGTCTTTTAATTTCTCTATCACATCATCAGGACCAAACCTAAATATACAGATATATCAAAATTAAAATATGATACAATTAAAAATCAATTCATTATAAGTACTCAGTTAGGTAAATCTCTAATGATTGGACGGTGCGAAAGTATAGGATTTCAATATATCTTGAAATGCAATATATTTGCCCTTTTCCATTTATGTGATTATACATTGTAAATGAGTGTGTGACTTGTGTCTATTGTTATGATTTAAAAGCTTTTCAATCATTTATATATCGAAAGTAAAATATTTTAGAGTGAATTTGCTATACAACTGTACAGTTTCTATGTTACATAGTTATTGTATTTGACTTCTATGCATGTTAATGTATTACAGTTACTTTCATCTTACTGTATTGAAGCTACATAAATCTTACAACGTAAGTCACCTTCATTTTTTTGCACAGACCATGTAATTCCACTACACTATATTGACAACATTATCTAGGTGTATTGGACTAGTCTGCATGTTAACCTAGTTTTACTGTGTTAAACCTGACCGACTCAAATCTTAATTTATTGAAATTAACTTATCTGAATGGTTGGAGAGGGGTCTTTAGTTCACATTTCCCTCCCCTAACTCCTGCTTCCTATCCCATAATCCCAATTCCCTCCCCCTGACCATGCTGACTCTCAGATGAAAATGGGTCAAGAAACTTTCCCAGCATATCCCTAATTTCAACTCCCCCTTCTCACAATTCCTTCCCCCTTTTCCAACCCTTCCTTCCTCCTGACTCCCTCTTCTGATCCCCTCACTTCAATGGTCCCTTATCCCTGTCCAACCCATCTTATCTACTTGTAATAAACATTACCACCAGCTATCTGCAATGGACTTACCTTTCATTCTCATGAACAGTCGAAAGTAATTCCTGAAATGGGTTTGGGAAAATAATTATAGCATACATTTGATTACAGCAGATTTTCAATGCCCTAAATAGTTCACATCTAATGATACCTAGATGAATTGGATATTTAAAACAAATCATAAAAATATTTTGTTTGATTCAGTTTTTTTTTTTAATTTCTTTATAAATTCAGAAACTTCAATTATAATTTTCATGATCAATTTCAAAGTTAATTTATATAAAAAAAACAGGTTTCACAAAGTTTCTGTGCACTTTTTGTTTTTGTATTCATTGTATATTCATTAATGTGCCCTTTTCAGTTCCAACTAAGTGAAATTAAAAGGGGGAGGGTTGAGATCTAAAAAATTACTTATCTAATCCTGCCCCATGTTCATGTGCCTATCTCAAGTTAGTCACCCTGTCAGCAGTTACTTATTGTTATACACGTATCTTCATGTTTTTATTCAAGTTTTGATTGGAAATACTTAATAGTCTCTGTCTAATTTGAATCACATTTTTTTTAAAACTCTGGTGGATTTAGAGCTTGACATATAGTATAAACACCTGTCTATTGTTGATTTTTACAGATAGATGTGTAGTTTGGTTGTCTCATTGACACCTACCCCATATCTCCTATTATCTACCTTTTAGACAGTTTGTAAAACAATTTTAAGCAATAATCAGCCATGTTTATTTTAAATGAATTTGGGATTTATCTGTTACACACACCATTATAGTGTCAGTTTTGTGTACACTGGTTTTTTCTCTGCCCAGAAGGTACTTGGGAATGTCAATTCACATGAACTGCTTGTCGCACTCATATGCAATAGGTTCTTGCAAAATACTAAACAAGAGTTTCCACATTTAACAATTATAAACGACAAAAGAGCGAGTTTTTCACCTTTTTGTTGACTTTTTTTGTTTTGTGTAGATTGAAATCAAAACTTTTCCAGGGCTCACACTTCTTAAGAAGTATAGTGAGAAGTGACTTCTCTTTTTGAAACTGGCTAGGTTGTGGTGAAATTACATGAATTATAAAGAGAAGTTCTTGTGCACTCATGCCAACAACATTGCAATTTTGACATTTGTATCTTTAATAATTATAATTTTTCACTAAGCAAGTGCACATGACCATCTAAACAGCAAATTAAAGAAAAAATGAATAAGAAAGAACACGATACGACTATCATCAATAGAAACTCAACCAGGAAGTCTGTTCTGTTTATGGATCATCATTGCTTTTCTCATTTAAGAATAAATCTTAAAAAATTAAGTCACTTAAATAATTGATTATTTAATTAGTAGCTAAATAGTTGTCACTGATCAAAAGTCTGTGTTCACTTGTTTATAGTGTACTGGTACTTTTCACTTTTGGACTCATTATTCTTCAGTCAGCTAAGTTCTGTATCCGTCTGTAATTATCATAGTACGAATACAGATTTCTGTCATACTCAGTCTACCTTTGATCCCTGCTTAGTAACAAACTTGACAAACAAGTTTTAAGTTAAATCCATTTGTTTAATACATATCCCATGATTTGATTGGCTAGCAATTTTCAATAGGCAGTGAACAAAGTTAATAATGATTTCATGGTTCACTTAGCAAACAAGTTAACTTAATCTTATGGTTGTTTGTACACACTCAGGTATAGCAGCTGTAAATATCGAGAAATCTTTGCTGACAAATAAATCAAATGTCATGCAACAGCTGACAATTCTTTGACTAATCACATCAGTTTATCATATGCTTGATTTTGTTTTGCTTCAACGAAACTTCACTATTATTAAACAAATAATTGGACAATAATAACTGCTTTCTTTTTTTTCATGCACAAGTTACTGTGATCTTATTGCTCATTGTGGGCAAAATTAGGTGTTAACATATAAGTATCTGCATTTATTTTAAGGACTTACCTTTTTTAATGGAACTTTGAATGCAACAAATTTGGTACCACTTATCACTTCTCCAAGGGAACCATACTGGTCCCACCTAAAAATCAAATAAAATTAAGGAGATGTGGTATGATTGATAAAGAAACAACAATCCATAAAGACAAAAAGGTCAAACATGTGAACAATAACAGGTCAGCATACAACCTCAATCATTAAGCAAAACCTATGCAATATAACAGTTAACTTTCTTAAAACTGACAGTCAGAGTGACATTAACAATTTTCCTGATCACTCAAATTTTTAATAATTTATTATAATGATGATGGTGGATAGATGCTTAACGTCCAGCGGCAAATTAATATGCATATTAAAGACAAGAACATGTTAATGTAATAGGAATATTAACCCTGCTTAATACTAGACCCACACGCTGAGCCGGATTTTTAAAGGTGCTAGTTCACAAGGTAACAGTCTACAGGAAGACATGTCAAATTACACGGACACATTATTCTGACTCCGAGCCGACCAGTCTTTTCTCTTACTCCTTAATGCTGCTTGCTTAGCGGTAAAGCAGCAAATACCAATTTTATAGCCCATGACCTCCCGCACTCTAGGCAAACAAGCTACCACGAAACCATTGAGGCGATAATAATTTATTATGCATTTGTAATAAATATTGATTAAAATTAATAGTTGAAAGGGTCAGAACTCCCTATTGTGCAACAACATGGACAAGGAATCATTGCTGCATACACCTTTCTCCTGCTCTAATCTTAGAAAAATGGATAATAGTACATGGTTAAAATGACTTATGAAACTATACAGTTCATACACCAAGAAATTCAATGCTTTGATATGACAGTGCGCCTATGGGGCCAGTCAATCCCTACACAGGATGTTTGATATCAAAAGTATTTCTGCATAACATGGTTTTGTTTAAAAAATTCATATTTTTTTCTGCTATACTTTCCATATTAGCGTATGAATATAATGCTAATCGTGTCTCTGATAAAAGCCTGGGATTTCAGAGAGTTTTGTTGCTGCATTATAAATAATATCAAGTGGTAATGAAATAATAACAGTCCGCACATACAAGCCTCCCGAGAACTCCCAAAATTGTCTTGTAAAGTGTATGTTATTTCCTTGCACATGTTGTATAATAATATGGCAGACACAACTATTCGAAAAGTATGTAATTCTATCTAAATTCAGGTATAAAAAGTGCTAAATCATTTTTTTAAATTGAAGTTTTCCAATTAATGATTAATAAAAGAATCTCATCCTTCAGAAGTTTCATACTTTTATTTAGATAGAGTTATTTACCTTGCAAACAAGACACACAAATCGAATTCCTCAAGTTAAATTATACATTTATTGAGCAAAAATGACATATCTAATAATTATAGTCTTTATCATCTGATAAGCAATAAAATACTATATAAAATAGAGTTTTTCGGGTAATGTCTATCAGTTCTCGGGTTCATATCGAGCTTTTGGGAGTTCTCTGGAAATCATTGTACAGCATCTAAAAGACATATGGAATGTAATTTAATACCATTTATAATTAAATTTATGAGAATTAACTTCTTAAACATTATATTTCTATATCCAGTTTTAATAAAGATCCCTTTATAAAAGTTTATTTCACAATATGTACTGGCACTAATAGTATAGACCCGCGAAGTTAATACCGGGGTAGTACTGGGAGTGGTATACACCTTATCGCTATTTAGTCCATTCCAGAAAAAAACAGTCATCTTTCTATGTTGTGATGTTACACTATTAATTCAGATAAGTATGATAAGGGTGAAGGTTTGGTACCATTAAAACGTTTAAATCCGCTGCAATTGTTTGCACCTGTCCTAAGTCAGGAATCTGATGTGGTTCATAAGTGTTTCTCGTTTCTCGTTTTTTATATAGATTAGACCGTTGGTTTTCCCGTTTGAATGGTTTTACACTAGTAATTTTTGGGGCCCTTTATAGCTTGCTGTTCGGTGTGAGCCAAGGCTCCGTGTTGAAGAACTTTGACCTATAATGGTTTACTTTTATAAATTTTGACTTGGATGGAGAGTTGTCTCATTGGCACACATACCACATCTTCTTATATCTATTTAAATAACTTCCTTTTGGGTCGTCCTGAATATGCATGAAATATTTGCCACTGGACGTTAAGCAACCAACAATCAATCAATCCTTTTGGGTCAATTGTCACAAGACAAAGATCATCAGTAACGAGCTGAGGGAGCAAAACATGTAGGAAGTGAACATTTTGAAATATGTAGAGTTTATGATCCAATTTTTTACACACAACTTAAAGTAAGAAAAATGCTTTGTTTACCATGTTTACAATGGTTTAAACACAACTCTTTGAAAAATCTTATGCACAGAACATACACCTTATCGCTATTTGTTTGGACATCACAAAGGTTCCCGTAAAATCTTGACGTCATAATAGAAAACATCTGACACCACAATGGAAAAGTGAATGTTGTATGACGTCAATAATTCAAGAGGCTCAGATTTCCAAGGCAAATGGCGATAAGGTCTATTGTTAAAACAGGGTCCCAGATATCTTTAACTGGTGGTTTGAAGAAGTTGCATAATTTCAGAACTTATCTGGAATGGAATAAATAGCAATAAGGTGTATTTACCAGGTTCTATTTACCTCCCAACCTTGACAATCAGTCAATGAATTATAAACTTGGGACAGATTGTCTGATTTGGTGAGTCCCAGATTCTAGTATTCATGAACAAAATCAGTTGGAACAAATTGATCACCGACTTGGAACGAATTAACCAAATCTGGGACCAATTAGACTTGGAACGAATTGAAAACATTCGTTATGGTCCGAGTTTGTTTTAGGCTATAACTGTAATTTGTAAAAATTTAGGCCGATTTGCGCAGCAGCGGCAGTATGATCAGAAACGTCGAATTAAAATTACCTGTCTGGTGGTGGCATAACTTGTGAAAAAGTGTTCTCTTTCTCGTAAAAAAGTATTTATGGATCTATAGAAGTGGAAAATTATGGTCTACTCATAAGATTTTACTTGCACTTTCGAAACAACCGGAAGTGACACCTAACAAACTCCTGATTGTTTTTTAAAATTAAAAAATCACAGAATATCTTAATCAATTGAGTGTTTAGTTGAAGGATTTTTTTACAATCATTTAAAGCGCTAATAGAGAAATGATTTGTTTAGGCGGGAAATTTGAAACTTTTGATTTGGAATAAAAGTGTGACGAATTATAAGATTATATTTCATAATAATTTCAGTGTAAGTGGAAGGTATAATTTTGCTTGATGTTGTAATTTTTGATGTCAGGGTTTCAGCTTCAGTGCACACTGTAGCATAAAGTAAGAGGGAAGATGCATTCAACAATAGTCAATACTACTCATTACTAGGCAAAAACCCATGCCGCATAGCAATTAAGTTATAAATGGTTTCTGAATATATTTAACCAATGATTTGTATAGTCTTACTATACAAATCCTTGATTTAACACAATGGATCTCCTGTAGTTGGTGATCGCAATACTGGTATACTAGTATTGTCCACAATACTGGTATAAAAATTTTGTACCAGTATTGTATTCCAGTATTGTACCAGTATTGTGTTTTTTTAAAATAAACAATACATATAGGTAATTAATCTTTTATTAAAGGTGTCACATATATATGGATAATGATATTAACATATGCCAGACATGACAATTGTATGTTTAACTGATGATGCCATTGATGGTACACTGTGATTGTAATCAAAGAAAATTTTAAATCTTCTGATGTTTTTTTCTTAAGGGAACCGTACTGTCTCAGCATTTTAACAAACTATTTACTTTCTTCTATGTTTTCTTCCAGCTCTCTCTTTCCAAGTCTCAATAGTATATTTTAGTGAATTTTATATTGACATTAATGCTGTTATAGCTTCTGTATCATCAGCATTGGTATTGTTTATTTCTTCTTCAGATGGCATTTCTGCAACCCCAACTTCCTATAATGATATTTATGTATTCAGTCTGTGGACTTTCTCTTACGCTTACTAGATTACAAGCTTGTTTAGATAGCACCTGTACGGCTTTCTTACTGTAGGAGCTGTTCTTGTCTAGTATTAGTATTTGAGTATTTGTACCAGTAGATATATCTGCTTCAAATTGTATTGCCCACGGTTCTGAATCAACCTCTTTAACTACCCTTAAAATTCATGTAGACAAACTAGTTAATTTGATTATAATCAGGTTCCCCTATTAAGCAACTTTTTATGTTTAATGGATTATTGATATCTTTTATCATGTTTATTGTGAAAGATTGATAGGAAAATAAAGACAAACAAATGCTTATAGTATACATGTATTAAGATATCTACAAAATATACGATGGCATACATGTAAATGCTGAATTTACAGTGTCATAGTGTAATAATTTGCTTGAATTTATTAATAACTCAGATAATAAAGCTTTTATATTATTTTATCTAAATTGAATTAAATAAAATATAGAAATATGATAAAATTATTAGCAATTATTTATATAATTAACAATTGTTTGAATAAGATGAGTTAATTACAATAATCTTTTGTTTATTTGTACAAGTATAGTAATTATTTTTAACTGGTTGTTAATTGATTTCACAATTATCCTCTATAATCTTTTTGAGTTCATTTAATCTCCCTTCATTGATCTTCAATATCTAATTTTGCTTAAAATTCATTTTTCATTATACACCTTAAAGTATAGTGAACAATACAACTACAATACTGGTATATCAGTAATGTACCAGTATTGCTGTTTTTTAAAAAAAAAGTTACAATACTGGTACAAAATTTTTATACCAGTATTGTGGACAATACTGGTATACCAGTATTGCGATCACCGACTACAGGAGATCCAACACAATTCTTACAAGAAAACTTACGGCCTGATTTATGGTACCAAACAAAAAAACAAATATAATATACAGCAACCAGAGACATATTAATGTTTCTGCAGTAACAAATGACAAATTCACAGAATTTGGTAAGCAGACAGAAAATCACAGGACAAGAAGTCAAAGGACAGAAAGTCACAAATTTTATAGGACAAAAAGTCACAACTAACAGTCTTCACGATAAACTTGTAAATAATACAGGCCCTGGGCTCAAATATTGGAAATTTTTTAGTTACCTGTAGGCTGTAAGATACCTGTAAGGTCGTTGTGGGGCTCATATGGAAAGATCCATCCTTTTTAGCCCACCCAAGGATTTGTATAGTACCCCAGCGATCACAATTACGTCAGTACAACGTAATTTGAAAGTAATTTTAGTCTTGTTTACGTCACTAACTAACGTTATTTTTACGAATTTTCAGTCAAATGAAATGACGCCATACTGTCGTAAAAAAAGGGGGGGGTCGATTAGGTGAATTTTTAGTTTACTATGTCTGTGCATCGGAGAAAAATTACCCTGCCTTTTTCAAAAGCTGAAGTAAACACTTAGCAAAACTAATTAAGATCATATTTGCCTGAGGTACTGGCAATCTACTTGCAGTAGCACTGACCAAGTGACATATTTGATAATACAAAGCTTTTAAATTAATATACAGTGTATAATTCTTTAGATATGAAAAATTGAAAATAATGGAAAAAAATCAAAACTGTCTCAAGACAGTCCATTTTCATATTCTTTCACTATTTTATAATGTTGTTTCAGGTAACTATGTTCTACCACCAAAGTATTCTGCAAAGAAGAGGAGGGAAATTTGGAACAGTTTGGTATGTTCACATTAAACATAAAAACATCGAAATGATTAGATAAACTTGGAAAATAATAGATGTGTTTATATAACTTTTTTATTGATTGACTTTTAAATTTATGAAGAATGTATATTTATATATCATGTGTATATGTTTTTTTGATAAAACAACATAAGTTAATTATAATCTTAAACAATTAAAATTTTCAGGCTTGCTGCTACAAAGATTGATCAGCTGAAAAGAAGAGATTTTAGTGCAGTAAATATCAGAAGAACATGGTACATACATATGTAAAACAGTGTTGTATTGATAGATGGAATTACAAGTTTTTACTTCAGATTTGTAGAAAATTTCATTAAGTTGTTCATAAATTTCAGAACAGATAAAAAGACCTGACAAATATAAAGATGACATCTTTATACTTAAATTATTTCATGACTGGTAGCAATTTATTTGTTAGAATAAGCTTCAAATCTTCGCTGATACATAATTGACTTGCATGGCAATAATTTTACCTTGTTAAGATTCATATTAATATGACCTATTATCTTATCCAAGTTAGAGATGATTGTGCATGTGCACATCATGTTCAGTTATTGAAAATTATTATTAAAATCATTCTCATATATAGGTAACAGATATGACTATGATGTACAACCAAGATCAACACAACCAGGTTTGGTTGTATATATTAATTTTAAGACTAAAAATTTTTTCCCACATTCAAAGATATGTCACAATGATTTTAAGAGTACAAAAAACATGTGTTAAATCGAGATCAGGTCATACATTATTCTTTATATGCCCCCACTGTGACGGAGGGTCATTAAGTTTTACTCTTGACCGTCTGTACGTCCCAAAACTATTTTCCCTCAACCAAATGGTTAGAAACTAATACAAAATGCTTATTACCACCAAACACAGATTAAGAATGAATATGGGTGGTGTCCCTTTATAATCGGAAAAAATTGGCAAATTTGCAGTTTCCACATTCTAACTTTACTTTGCCACATCGAAATGTTCTGAAACTTATACACAATGTTTATTACCACTAAACACAGTTCGAGTTTGGATTTCTGATGGTATCACTTTCACCGTTCTTGAGTTATGTCCCCATGTAAATGGAAAAATTGTTGAATTTGCAGTTTCCGCACTCTAACTTTTCTTTGCCACAACCAAATATAATAATGAAAAATTGCCACATTTGTTGTTTTGTGCACTCAACATACAGAAATGAATTTCAAAGAAAACAAAATTTGAACATTGACTCCTGCATATTTACAAGTGGGGGGCATCAGTGTCCCATGGACAACTTCATACTTTATTTTTATATTTGTCAAATTAATTCAAAGTGAAATTTATCAATTTGAAAGTTCTCTGCAAGTGAAACAAAATAAAAAGAAAAAATTATTTGTAATTTTTCACAACATAAAAGTATTTTTGAATTATATTGAATTGATATATGATTACAAACCACTCAATTAGTTTTTATGCCCCCGCCGTAGCGGTGGGGGCATTAAGTTTTACCCTTGTCCGTCTGTACGTACGTACGTACGTACGTACGTACGTCCGTCCGTACGTCCCGAAATTGGTTTCCGTTCTCTAACTTGAGTTTGCCTCAACCAAATGTTATGAAACTTATACACAATGCTTATTACCACAAAACACAGATCAAGTTTGAATTTTGGTGGCGTCACTTTAACCATTTTAGAGTTATGCCCCTTTATAAATGGAAAAATCTCAAATTTTTTAGTTTCCGTTCTCTAACTTAAGTTTGCCTCAACCAAATGTTATGAAACTTATACACAATGCTTATTACAACAAAGCACAGATCAAGTTTGAATTTTGGTGGCGTCACTGTAACCGTTCTAGAGTTATGCCCCTTTATAAATGGAAAAAATGCAAAATTTTTAGTTTCCGTTCTCTAACTTAAGTTTGCCTCAACCAAATGTTATGAAACTTATACACAATGCTTATTACAACAAAGCACAGATCAAGTTTGAATTTTGGTGGAGTCACTTTAACCGTTCTAGAGTTATGCCCCTTTATAAATGGAAAAATTACAAAAATTTTATTTTCTTCTAAGTATCAAGTAATTTATAAAATTGGAGTTATCTTCCTTTGTCCATGATTATAGTTGAATCGACTACAGTCAATGCTTTATACAATGCAATGTTTAATTTTGACTTCCACTGATAAAACACAGATCAAGTTGAATTTGGGTAGTGTCACTTTAACCATTATTGAGTTATGCCCCTTTATAAATAGAAAGATTGCAAAATTTTTAGTATCCATTCTGTAACTTAAGTTTGCCCCAACCAAACATTATGAAACCTATACACAAAATTCATTACAACAAAACTAAGATCAAGTACAAATTTTTTATTTCCGTTTTGTAACTTTAGTTTGCCTCAACCAAATGTTATGAAACTTATACACAATGCTTATTACTACATAATACAGATTAAGTACAAAATTTGGTGGCGACACTAATACCATTCTTCAGTTATGTCCATTTATAAACATAAAAATTGCTGAATTTTTCGTTTCCGTTCTCTAAATTTAGTTTGTCTCAACCAAATGTTATAAAACTTATACACAACTGTTCTAGAGTAATGCATGTTTACAAATAGAAAAATTGCTAAATTTTTAGTTTCTGTTCTCTGCTTAAGTTAGCCTCAACCAAATGTTATGAGACTTGCACACAATGCTTATTACCACAAAACTCATATCAAGTTAAAATTTGGGTAGCGTCACTTTTACCTTTCTTCAGTTATTTGTTTCCATTTTCTAACTTTAGTTTGCCTCAACCAAATGTTATGAAACTTATACACAATGCTTATTATAACATAATACAGATTAAGTACGAAATTTGGTGGTGACACTTTTACCATTCTTGAGTTATGTCCCTTTATAAACATAAAATTTTTCGTTTCCGTTCTCTAACTTTAGTTTGTCTCAACCAAATGTTATAAAACTTATACACAACCGTTCTAGAGTTATGCGTGTTTACAAGTTGAAAAATTGCTGAATTTTTAGTTTCTGTTCTCTACTTAAGTTAGCCTCAACCAAATGTTATGAGACTCACACACAATGATTATTACCACAAAACTCAGATCAAGTTCAAATTTGGGTAGCGTCACTTTTACCGTTCTTCAGTTATGTCCCTTTATAACTAAATGATATGCAAGCGGGGGCATCATCTGTGTCCACATGTGGACACTATCCACATTTATTTCTATTTACATGTATGAAATTCAATTTTTTTGTCTTACCTATGATAGTAGTACATGTAGTATGGCATTATACTTTCTGGCGTTGGACACAGTGCAGGTGGAATTGTCACGATGTCACAGAAGCAAGGGTTAAAATCCCGCTGAGGGAAGAAAAAAATTTGCGAACGCAAATTTACAGATCTAACATTGTTGGGCTAAATTTGAGACGAATTATATATATATTATGGTGTTAGCCCTGTATAATTTTGGATTATCCAATGGAGAATGTCTGTCATAAAGTTGTCACATGCTTAGATGTAAATATATATTCTTCTTTTTAATGTAAAGAAATTTTACAGTGATGATATTCTTGATTATGTACTGGTAAGAATAATGCCAAAGAAACAAGGATCAGGACATCCAAGGTTTTCCCTTTATCTGTCATCGCAGCTTATGTATGGAGTTATCAGGGTATATAAAAGACAGAATGAATACCTTCTAGGTAAGCAAAACAAAATGTTTTTCATCTACATAAAATTTAAGAATCATTATTGTCTTGCTTCTATGAAGTTGCAGAGGTTAGACTTAGGTGGGCTGTAACCGGTGGTGGGGGAGTCAACATTTGTTTGATTAGGCAGTGCCATTTAAATTTTAACTCTGTATGAAGGTATCAAAATGACGAACAGGTATGTAAGACATATATCTGTGTCAACAGTTTATTGTTTATTGTATATTTTTGCATATTCAGGATTAGAGTAACAGAAATTTAGGCTAGTTTGTAGTCAAAAAGCCTGCTTGTTCCCTGGAGAGCTTTTAAATTGGTGAAAATTAAAAAAAAATATGTTGGCCAAAATTTCTATACTATTACTATACATGCCACCTCAATCTCCTGGGAAATTCCAATACTGATGCTAATTAAGAGTATAGTAATTGAAAAATAGAGAAATGTTTCCAATTACCACACCGAGTCCCTTGTTTTACAAGACTTTATTTGTGGTTGTTTGAATAAACAATTCGGAATTGTTTCTGACCTTTCAAAATCTGATCTTTTAATTGCATAGCATTTTCTATGGGATTAAACACACTTTTTCTAGTGTTATTGATGTGTAAACTGAGGTGATTAACTTACAAACTGAATAAAAATCAGACGGACTTTTATGTTAAACTTGTGAGTCAACCACCAAGTAAATATATCAAACTAGTGTGTTCAAACAATAAAAGCATGAACAAAGAATGTAAAAATGTGAACAAAGAATATAAACTAATGTGAACAATAACTTTACTAATAACTTAAATCTAGGAGAACAAGATTTATTTATTAGTTGTAATTGGCTAAGCCGCTTTGAACTAGCCTTCAGTTACTGCAAGTACTCTTCCTTCAGTGCTGTGTGACTATTGTTTTTATGTTTATCTTAGTTGTTTTGTTCCTTGTACCCATCTTTTAAGTTAAGCCAATTTCGACTGATTTTCAAAGTTTGTTCAAATATTGTGTTGTCCCAAGTAAGGGGAGGATTGAGCGCTCACAAACATGTTTAACCCTGTCATTCCAAATGTGCCTGTCTCAAGTCAGGAGCCTGTATTTCAGTGGTTGTCTTTGATTCATTTCTGTCATATTTTTTTTTCGTAAATTGTATTGCTATGAATTAGGCCGTAAGTTTTCTTGTTTGAATTGTTTCACATTTTTTCATGTCAGGGCCTTTTACAGTATGGGTTTTCCTCTTTTTTGAAGGCTGTGCAGTGGCCTATAATTGCTTACATCCGCTTCCTTTGAACTCTGGGGATAGTTGTCGCATTAGCAATCATACCACATCTCCTAATTTTTTGAAAGAATAAAAAATAACTAATGTGAACAAGAACTTATTTTTATTGCAGATGATGTGACTAATTTCTTCTGTAAGATGAGAATTGCTGTGGCCAATCTTGAGGAGATTGATCTGAAAGCCATGAATAGGTAACTTTAATGGTGATGGATGGAACTAAACTTTATTTTACATATGTATATATAATATTCAAGTACATATATTCTTAAGATAAGCACACTCAGATGTTTATACAAAATGTTGACCTATCATTTTTTTTGCCCATGTCTCTGCCAATTAGTAACATATTCCAAGGTTTATTCTGGAGATCATCAGTTATGCACTGAATCTTTTATGTCCCGCCTAGGATATTATGTTCCAGGTGTGTGTGTGTCTGTCCATCCTTTAGTCCTTACTGTATCAGGTTCAAGGTTCAATGAACATGGACTTGTAGTGTATATTATCAGGTTAAAGTTTTTGGATAAGGTAATTTACCATAAAGTTGTCACAAATATTATTAAGTTTAGTACACATGTTCATTATTTGTTCATTTGTGGGTAAAGGGAAACCACAAATTTAAAGTGGTAGGGGCAATAAGACCCTTATTTGGCCCAATTATTAGTGCAAATCATAAAGTTAATATAAATGTTCTTAAATTTGTTCTTACTATACTGAGGTACAAGGTGTTTAGAAAATAAAAACGTATTATTTAGGTATATATATTTGATCGGACATGTATGTGTGTACCCAAGAAACAACTTTATATTTGGTTAGATTATGTAAACAACTTTAATAAATCTTCTGTTGAATTATTGTATTGTTTCTTGTCTGTGCACAATGTTTCCAGAAAGGAACTTATGATTGATAACTGCATTTATTATATAACTATAAATTTTTTGTTTTCTCATTGGCTAAAAGCCGAGGAAATCCTCTTTGATAAAACATTATATTCACCGCGGCAAAAATTACGAGACATTAATATAAGATTTAGAACAGCGTCCGTGTACCTAAATATAGATATTCCAAGGCAACTTCAATAACGTAGGTTTATGACATCCTGTTAATTCCCGTTTTTTAGCTCACCTAGCATCACTTGGCGTCTGTCATTAACTTTTACAAAAATCTTCTCCTCTTAAACTACTGGGCCAAATTTATCTTAACTTGGCCACAATCATCATTGGGGTATAAAGGTTTAAAAAAATGTGTCCGATGACCCTGCCTGCCAGCCAAGATGGCTGACATGGCTAAAATTAGAACATAGGGGTAAAATGCAAGTTTTGTCTACAATTTTGAAAACCGTTATAAATAGAGAAAATCTGAGAAGGGCAAAAATGTTGAGAATGTTGTGTTCTATCAAATGTTCACTTCGTCAAGACAAATATTACCTTTTTTTTTCATTTTTGCCTATTATCTTGAAAACTATAATAGATAGGGAGAAACTTTAAAAGCAAAAATGATCAGCAAGACAAATTTTACAATTAAATCTGCATGGTAGAAATTGTCAGTCGACTTCTTGTTAGAGTTATTGCCCTTTGATGACGATTTTTACCAATTTTCCGTTTTTGCCTTGTGTCTTAAAAATTATAATAGAAAGATAGAAACTTAAATAAGCAAAAATGATCAGCAAGACAAGATCTACGATTTGGAAAATATGGAGGAAATCGTCTGACAACTCCTTATTGGAGTTATTGCCCTTTATGGCGATTGTTACCATATTTTTGCGTTTTGCTTTATATAATAAACATTATAATAGATAAATATACAATTTAAATCACAAAAATGATCAGCAAGGCAAGATCTACTAACAAGTCAAATTTTGAAGATATAGCTATTAGACTGTCACTCTTTATAGGAGTGATTGCCCTTAAATGAGGATTCTTTTACCCTCTTTTGTGTTTTGAGCAAAAACTAAGGAAGAAAGAGGTGTATTTTTTCTCTTCTTCTTGTTTTCGGTGTATTTTTTTTTAGCAAACTTTATTGAATATTTCAACTTATGAAAATCAGCAACTGCAAAAGCAGATGATATATTTAGTATAAAAACAGGGAGCAGTTTTAAAAGTATCTTGAGCAAATACTAGAAAATTGGAGAAGGATAAAAAGTCATATAATAAAACAATTGGCCTCAGTGAATATCATATCTCTGGGGTTGATAAATCATTGTATCAACCTCATCAGAAGTCAATAATTGTATAAAATTAAGCAGTTTTCTAGTTTTTGTGAAAAAGGTGCGTATAATGACATAAATGTTATTCATTTACATTTCTTGATCTTATGCACAATGCCCCTTCTCCTTTGTGGTTTCCCTATACTCGTGAAATAAATGAAAAATAAACATGTGCCCTATATAAATACTGTGAATTCATTATTATAAATTGGAGTTCTTAATTTAATGATGTTCATGTGTATAGGTGAACCACAACTATCATAAAGAATTGCATGCAGAATTTGTCAACAGTGGACATTAAAAGTACTCAAAAAGTTATTTTCCCTCATTCTACAAATATTGGCACCCACAAAAATAAATGTATCCACAGTAATTGAGTTTAATACTGATCAGAATTCCAAGGTTATTGTAACCACAAAACTTATTTCAACATATAATCCTGGATGGAAATATATGTAAAGAACTTCTTGAAACTGATACTAAATACTTGAGGTATATTATGTTTGATGGTCCAAAAATGATTTGAAATCCAAGATGGCTGTGTGTGTCTATAGCTAATGAACATAGTTTTGATAGAGAAATATATCATACATTTTGTCAGCTTCATGTGCACCAGTTGAGTGATATAGAGTCTTCTTTCCACTAAATACATTAAACCCAACTACTTAATGAAAAACATAACACAAACTTATCTTTGTTGACTAGCACGATTACTGCATAAAATTATACTTATACTTATGTGCCTTGGGAATTCTTTTATTCCTTTGAGTTCATTTTTTTATTGTAGACAAGAACAGTTGGCATGTGATTTAGATGATTTATATGCAGATAATCCTTGGTTTGGTGTACTGCAGATGGATGCAGCAGATTTATTGAAATCACCACAAATTCCAGGCATGGTAGGTATTTTGATCAAATGTATCTCATGTACATTGCAGCAACTTTAAAACTGTATGATCTAAAAGTTAGAGAATTATTATTTTGTAAAATGGATTACAATAGATATTTGAGGAAAAACAGAGCTCTCTACCTTTTGTATTTGTGAAACAGATATTTACAATTTTAGAAATCAGTTTTGTTCTTATAAAAGCAGCGTTAAAACAGGAATGCATATACTGATTTATGGTTGAAAGAAAAAATGATAAAACAAGATTAATCAAAATTGACTGAGTTTTGCTGATTGTTGGCTTATTTTGTGTATTTTTTCATTGTATGTTTTTATATAACAGCTATGAATATTTGCAGCATAAATTGATGCAATGATGAATTTGATTAATAAATATTAAAACAAAATGTAAAGAACTGAATTCAAAAAAAGTTTTGATATTCTAATTTTGCTAAAGATCAATTATTTTAATGAATTTTCATAGCTTTAATAGTTCTTTTTCCGTATTTGACTTTTGATATTTTAGTATGCTAGCCATTTTAATGTGTATATACAGTTTATGCTTGTTCATTTTATTTGACCAGTGAATGTTTTATCCTATTGTATTTTCATTATCATAAACTAAAATATATGTTATTTTTCCAATATTTCGATTGCCTATTTAGATAAGATTTATTTCATACATATCTTAAAATGGTTAGCAGTTAACTTTTTAACATCAGATTTCCATGTTGCGTGTTTATGTTGATGTTTAATTTTTGTTCTACTTTTAATTCAAGTTCTAGTTGAAGAGGTTCTATCTGTAAGAAATTGGTAAGTTCGTGCTTGTATTTTTTACAGTTTTAGCATTTCCACCTTTTAATCGAAGAACATTAGAATAACTTCTATGTAGTCTGTAGCCATAAATGACCAATTAAAAACAGAATAGCTTTGGAAATCCAAATGCTGCATTTAGAGTCTGTTGTTTATGTTTAAGAATAAAAAGAGATATGTGGTCATCATTAATGATATAACAACCATACAATAAAAAGGGAGGCCGCTGAGATAGGATCCTTACTTGGTAAAATCAAATAATCAAGGGCATGTTTTATTTTATCTTCGGGAGTGAGCCAGAAGAGGTCTATTTCTGTTTTTTTGCATTGAGAAGATCTTCTGGCTCTCTTCTACCTCTTCCTTTTAAAAAGGTAGTTTAGACGGCAGAGGCACATAACAAACATGGCATTGCTTAGTCTAAATGACATTAATAAATATATGAATGCAGATATAATAGAATCTGAGCTGAGTGATAAACGTTTTTATGGTATTGCAGCCTTAGAGGACATCCCTGTAGGGACGATAAGCTGTATAAATATAAGAACCCCACAGACAATAACAGCAAGGGGAAGACTATTTGATATTATTGGGTGGGGTAGGGGGGCAGGAGAATTTTTTGCAGACTTATTATTCATTTTAATCTGTTGCTAATAATGCCTATTTTTTCAGCTCTTACCAGGCCACCATATTCTTATTCAAAATCCTCTTGTCCCCCACCCAACCCAAAAACAATAAATATCAAATGGTTTTCCCCTTATTTAACACAAACAAGTTTAACTTGATTGATTGTTGGTTGCTTATTCTTAACGTCCAGTGACAAACATTTCATGCATGTTCAGGAAAACCAAATTTAAAAGTCAGGTATATAATATAAAAATAAGGAGATGTGGCAATGAGGCAACTATCCACCTGTGTTCAAATGAAGTGGATGAAAGCAATTATAGGCAACTGTACAGCCTTCAACAATGACTCTGAGAAAAACCCATATCGTATAGCCGGCTATAAAAGGCCCCGATATGAAAAATGTGAGACAATTCAAACGAAAAAACTAACAGCCTAATTATATATAACAAAACAATTTACAAAAAATCAAATATGAGTTGACAGACATGACTGGTGACCAACGACATTCACTTAACTACAGGCTCCTGACTTGGAACAGATTATGGCAGGATTAATCATGTTTGTGAGCACTCAACCCTCCCCTTAACTGGGACAGTACTCTAACAGTATAATTTAAGAACAAACTGTAAAAATCAGTTGCAATTAGATTAACTCAAAAGATCGGTATAAGACACACAAAAACAACTAACATTAAGACAATAGACACAAAGCACCGAAATAAGAGTATTTGCAGTTACTGGAAGTTTGCTCAAAGCCAACTACAACTAACACTAAAATAAATCTTGTTCTCCCAGACTAAACTATCAATCAGTACACAACCAACATATTTAGTCATAAACAGTCTGAGAAACACCATGACCTTGTATACCTTGTATATATGCATATACAATTAAAGTTTTCGACAAGTGGTGGTCAGAAGGTTTTGACCATCGAAATTTTGCAATAGAAATAATACTTAGGTCCAGCAGATTTTCCTCAATGACCACCAGTGAAAAAAGATTTTGAGAACTCTGCGATGTCTTTGCTTTATACAAAAATAATCCAGTTTGGTTACTTTAAAAATGTTTGACAGACAAGATGTTCTTTTTGATCATATACCAGACAAACATTGACTAATTCTTTTGCAGTTTAAGATTATTCATGAAATCAAATGGTCGGATAAGCCGGACTTGTTTGGCAAAATTGAGTTAGGAAAGCATAAAGAAAAAATGTCACAAACACAGTGATTTCTTCCAACCAATTTTCTTTGTTATTACACTGATTATTTAATTAAATCAATGCCATAACAGAGCACACTATTACAGTCATGTCTACCGAATCGAAACTGACGTATCTTAATCGAATAAATCATCGTAAACTTCATTAATGTCATCCAACATAAAAAAATAATTCTGCAATATTCGATGGCAAATTGGATTTTAGTTTTATTGCTTCTTCAACAGAATATCCCCAGAAAAGGTCCAGATTCATTTTTTTGGACTCTCCAACAGAAGACATTCTGGAGATGTACAGAAGAGACCAATAAAACATGCCCCTGATGACTAATATAAGATGGAGTTTTCTCTCATGCAAAGCCTCTCAATTTTTCAATATTTTTGTCTATAAATGAAACACCAATTGATTAAATTTTCACATAGTATTACCTTGATAGATAATTAGTATATATATGATATTGTAGGAAATGTGGAGAATAGAATCTAGCTTATCAATTCCAAGATCTCCATTGATGAGTCCACCTTTAAAGCCTGCTCAACCATCTACACCACAAATATCTATCAATGAACCAATGTTAAAACCAGGTAGATATAAGTTATTGAAACTATAAGTAACTGTTGATGATAAGGAAAAAAACTTAGTAGATAAAACATCAAAATCTCTGTCTTAAGGATTATGTACCCCTTTGTTGATTCAATGCCGAACATATGGAAATTTTATAGAAAATCCACAACCTTTCCCCTTGTACTTCTATATTTGACAATTCAGTATTCCATAGATAGGGGATTACTGCATGCACTGCTAGCAATGATTTCCCTATAAAAAGTTTTTTAAATAAAGATATAAACACAAGCATGACAAGTACAAATATAGGCCTATTCAAGTATACTTGACTTTAGTCAGTTTAGTGACTCAACACAATGTTTTTTGGATTGTAAAGGTTGTTTAGGACTTTATGTTAACTATAAACACTAGCATAACATGGACAATCATGTGAGTAATCTATGTTTAAAATGTTATAATGAAAATTTCTGTAATAAAGTTTGTGGACTTTCTTTTAAAATCTTGGCTTCATTTGCCACAAAATCCCCATTTTCTATTATTATGCAATGAAACAATAAATATTTTTGCTGTTAATGACATTTCGCTTTGGTGTATGTAGAAAATGGCACTTTTATTCAGCATTTTTGCTGTTTTGATATAATTACACTTTGAAAATTTTGTAATACACAGGCAAACATGTACAGAAACAGTCATAAACTATAATGGAAAGGATGTAAAGAAAATTAATATAACATGCATCTGTCTTAATTGTATATGTTTCAAACATAAAAGATTGTAGTACTTGTATAGTTTGTGCCATTTTCATAACTACATATTTGTTCATATTGAAAAGGGAGATAGGCTAAGAGTGATACTTTTTTACATGGATAAAAATGGCATAAGGAAATAAAGTTGTGTTAATGTTTGCATGTTTGGAGTCCTTCTTATTTGATAGCCCAATTGAAAATTCTTTTTTCCCGACCTTGAAAATAGATAATTTCAGATTGTTTAGACCTTCAAAATACCAGTTTGTGTGTTTTTATGTCCCACCTATGGGCATTATTTTTTTTCTGTTCGTTCGTCCATCTGTCCCGCTTCAGGTAAAAGTTTTTGGTCAAGGTAGTTTTTGATGAAGTTGAAGTCCCATCAACTTGAAACTTAGTACACATGTTCCCTATGATATGATCTTTCTAATTTAATGCCAAATTAGAGTTTTGACCCCAATTTCACGGTCGACTGAACATAGAAAATGATAGTACGAGCGGGCATCCATGTACTATGGACACATTCTTGATTTATCTGTTCAAGTTCTATTTTAAAGTGTCTTAACTTCTAAAAAGACCTGAAACACAAAATATGCTATGGCATATATGAGTTGTATACTTTTATTAAAGTTTCTATATGGATGTTTAATCTTTGTTAAATTCATTACAGATATGGCTTCACCACATACAGTTTCCAGCAAGGAGGAGATAACTATTCCAGAAATTGATATGACAATATTTCAAGATATTCAGGTATTAACAAAAAAAAAGAAGAAAACCTTAAAATATTATAATATTTTTTGTGGTGATTTGTTCTGATAACTCTATTTAGTTCAATTTGATAAATAATGGATACATTAAGTATTTTATCAGTAGATACAGATAAATGATTGTTTGTGATTAAATCTAGAAAAAATCATTTTTTTCTCCATTAAATCAATTTTTTTGTTTCTTGGACATCTAATTTCAGGGATGATTCTACTATATAGTTTAGGGCCGCTGAACAGCCCTTAAATCGGCCAGCGGCCCCAAAAAAATTTATGTGAATATAAATTCCCAATTCAGGAAAAATAAAATAAAAATCATTATTTCCGGAAAGGAAATGGTTCCGTCACCTATTTAGGCAACTATAATTTTTCAAAATTTGTCGTCAAAGCGTTTTAAAATCCGGTTGAGAATGCTGTCAATGATCGCGTTTAATTAACAACGATTTAATTATGTCAACATGTGGTCATAAACGATTTTAGCAGCCGGATTCAATTGATAAAAATGCAATGGGAGTATTTGATCTCTTAAAAACAGGTCGCCCAGCAGGTCAATAAACAAGATGTTTTTTGTCAAAATGGGTCTCATTAAAGCAGACCTCCGCAGAGAGCAAAATTTCATTTTAGATATAACATTGATGAATAAATTTTAATGGGCGCTGATCTCGTAAAAGCAGATCGCCCAGCAGAGTCGGTATACGATATGATGAAAACTTTTTTTGCAAAAGAAATTAATTTATATTTTATCAGGCTCTATTTCCTCAAAAGGCAAATGTTTGAGCGTTTTTGAAAATACATGTGGATGATAGATCATTCATGAACATTATGGAACTATTTCAAAAGTTGTGAAGATGATCCAAAATAAAATAATATTAAAATTCAATGGTTCAGTTTTTTAATTTCCTGTTTCTTAGGGTTATACCTAAAGTAAAACTACGACAAACTTCTACATACTAAACAGCAAGCAAAAATCACAAACATAGCACTTGAACTTTTGTAATTGCTTTTCTGAATTCGACAATTGGCCAGTTCAATTTGAAATCCATTTGAATCAAGGTAAATTTATAAAGATGACCTGTTGTTGAAAAAATTACCCAATGGATGATTTTTTCAGTGGTTTATGTTAGCTGTTATATATGTTAAAGGCCTAGGTTACCATAGCTAAGCGAAGATAGTGCACCTGCCGCCATCATGTGCAATGATCTTCATGTAACAACTTCCCTGGTCTCAATCCAATAACTGTCAAGTGATCTGGTAATCATTTATATCGATCATTATCAGAAGCCCGTCCAGGATTATTCAAAATGTTACAACTTTTACAGCAGTGTACAGGTGAAACTTAATATACATTTTCCGTTTTTACAGGAAAATAATGTTATTTCGTCTTAGAATTTATGCATAAAAAATTCCCAGTTAGGACAAAAAATTCCCAATTTGATGGTCAAGGGACCCATTTGAAAACACCTGGAATCATCCCTGAATTTATCAACATTATTTGGTCAAACATTTGTTATACATCCCCTCATCTAGAAGGAAACATTTCAACTTTACCTCAATTTCGTGGTATTCAAATAAAGCATTTGTAACATACAAGGAGTAGTGTAAAGCCAAAAAGTCTATGTATCTCACAAAATAGGGAATAGATTTTTGCTTGACTTGAGACATGCCACCAAAATTGTGTTCTTCTGCATTATTGAAATAAATAAAAAACTTGAAAAAGTTTAGTAAGTGAAAGACATTAGTCACCAAAAATCATATATACTATTAAACCATTAATCTTTACAAATTTCAACAGTTCCAACCAGAACAAGACTTACCACCATTTGATGGTAAGCTAATAGAAAGTATTTTGGAGGAACCATTACCAGGTGATTTACAGATGGGAAAATTCCTATCTCCTGTCAAAGTTCCACAGTATGAAGAGATGCAACAAGATCTTGCCCAGTAAGATATGTTATAGAATCTGTCTTTTGACTCATTTCACAAAATACTGTATGGGTAAATTACTATCTCTTTTCAAAGTTCCAGTGTGAAGAGATGCAACAAGGTCTAGACTAGAAAGATTTGTTATCAAATCTTTCTTATTACTCTTGTCACAAAATACTGTATCTTTTTCATAAATATTAATTATGCTTGTTAACATACTCTATGACAATATATTAAAAAATCAGTCCGTGGCGCGCGGAAGTAGTCAAGAAGACCGTATTATTTTTTTCAGGGGTTGACAGGATACATGTAATCGTTTTTAGTTTCAACTTCAGGGTTCTTATGTAAGCAAATTAAATAAACAATGATTTTATACAGGTTTTTTTTAGTTTTCACTGTTACAAAGGGGTTTATTTCTGATCTTATTTCTGTGTACACAATTCTGATTCTATGTATTTCACCTTTATCAATATTAGGAAATCTGTTTGGACAATTCCATATACCATTATGTTTTAGGGGTTTTTAGATTCAGTGTCGAGATAATATATATTATTAAGCATTGTCTGCAAGATATAAATCATTTTTCTAATAAAGTAACTAAATTAAAAACCAATATAAATTTAGCTAACATATATATTTTATTTAACTATGAAATTGATCGGAATGTGAATGACAACATAGACCTAAAATTCTTTTTGGTTTATCCCGTTTAACACATGACATTTCCGCGGGAACTTCTTCCAGTGACATTGTAATTTAATGGACGTCCATAATTGAATTTGGATTATTGTAATGTGATATAAATTGTTTTTGGATGTAATGTGATATTATTTGTGGTTCTTCTTCTACAGTACATTATTTGACGTCAGGTTTGTACTCATTAAGTCTCTAGTCTAGTCAGAACTGAAGTAGATGTACAGCATATCCCATCATATTTCAACCAACAAATACAACTGATTTACAGTATAACTGTTGAATAGACCTTTATTTATATATATTTAATCTCATTCCAGTCCATTAAACTGGCAAAATCAACGGAATCAGTGTAAATTTCGCAAATTCATTGTCTTTCACTTTTATAAAAATGTTATGGACGATTCCATATACCTGTAACCGGAGAGCATGATTCTTCTTACAAAATCATCTTTGTCTCCTCTGGGAATTGAACCCAGGACTTCTATGTTACAAGGCAGCGCGTATACCGACTAAGCTAAAGAAGTTTTTCCTTCGATTAACCGCTTACGGCTGACTAAATATCTACTAATGAAGGGAAGCAATCCTGTCACACTTCCCCCACCTTGCATAGTTTACATGTTAACGTATCGCCATTTTAATATCAACATTTGTATTTTACTATCAAAATTACATACAGACCAGACATATCTCCGTGTCAACGGTTTATTCAGATTATAGGTGGAATTTGCGAAAGTTGAAACACTTTGCATCTTTATCAGTCAGGGGTACTACTTATACAAGTGATTTCATTATCACCTATTTCAGTGATTTGATAAATTCAGTTATCACCAATTTTGGTGTTTCCTTTGATCTTCAAATGCTAATTTCATTTATTTTCCATATTTTGACAAATTTTTCTGTAATTTTCCTACATAGATCAATTATCCCTTTCTCCTGTATATCAATTTCACCAGTGCGCTTGGGCAATAAGTTAGTGCTCTAAAGCTTTTAAAAGTACCCTTGGGAATTTTTCTGTAATTAAATATTCATTAACTATTCTTCAGAGTTAGAATGATCTACTTCAAAGTTATGTCCTGATCTACAAATTATTCCAGTTTATGCATATTTTAAATAAACTGAAAAACCGATAAAAAAAGATAATTTCTGCATGTATATTGTTGTTTTTTAAATAGAATCCTTGTCTTTTTACCAATAAAAAAATCAAGATTGGTGGAAAAATATCAAGAAAATGTTATAAACACTTATTGATACATTTTTACTTCTCAGATTACTTGTTTCAGTGATTTTAAAAAGTCTGTGTCTATTTTTGTGAAAATTTTCAATTTTTCAAAGCCAAAATCACTTAAAGATGTGATTCTGAAATCACTTGTACATTTAAAAAAAAATAAAGAATATTATTTTTAGCATTTTGACTTGTCTCCTGACAAACATACACACATTTAGAATAAGATGAAGGATGGGTCATGTAAGTAAATGAATACACACTGTTATGTATGTGGTTTTGGAAAATATGATCACCATAGCAATTTTTTTTAATTTGTTAGATTAATTTTCTTGAGTTAAAAATACATGCCATTTTCCTTTGAAAGATAGGAAATGGCATGTATTTTAAACTATTTTGAATTGTGAAGGACTGGATTATTAACTAAATTAACAAAGTTGTTTCATCCTGTGATTAAATTACTCTACCAAAAGAGTTCATTAATCACTTCTGTTGTTTATTTTTGAACTCATTTCCATAGGGGTTTATTATCACCAAAAGAAAGGACACCAATGACAAAACCTGATAAATCAAGTGTACCAGAAAAGAGGGCACCAGTATTATCTCCTGGGGTTACTCCAATGCCACAGCCAGAGGAACCAGAATTGAGACCTAGAAGAGCTGTAAGAATTCCTGATACAATGCAATTGTTTTTAATACATTACTTAAATAAAGATGTGACATACTATGTCTACAAAAATGATTAAATAACTTTCAGAAAAATCTGCATACATGTAAATGTACCAGATATCAGAATGCAAGTTCTTATTATTGCAATGCTAACCCAGTTGTGTTATTCACATTAATAAAACCCTCGCAATAATTTCTGAATTTACAGTATTTAAATGAATAATCATCTGGAAGCTTCATTGTTTAGTTTGAATATTATTAATTTTTTATTTATTTTATGACATGCAGAGAGCTAGTTTCACTCTGCAGCTGTCCCCTGTCCCACCAAGTCCTAGAAGACAAAGAAAAAGACGTCATTTGTGCATTGATGCCCAGTGTCAAATACTAAAAGATCAGTTGAAACAAAATTTTACAAATAGAGAAGATATTATGCAAACTTTTGTAAGTATGTGGTAAAATCATAGGTATATAGATTGTACTTCTTCATTCTTTTTTGCACAATTGCTTGAATTATTTTTAGAGAAGGTTAAACAGATTTCTAGTACAGTGAATTCATTTATTTTCATGAGTACCAATTTTTATGAATTGAGGAAAAATTGTATTTTCCTTGATCTTAGATTTCGTGGTTTTGCTGATGTCTACACACAAGCTTATAGAAAATTTGTACTTCATTGAACATTTTGATTTGTGGTTCACCGAAATCGACAAAAATTGGTGTTCCTCGGATAATTATGAATCCAGTACTTAACTAATATTGCATGTAGTATGTGAATGTCTTTTTATACTTAATTATCTCTTTTTGTTGTCACCATAGCTAATTTTTTATAAGGGCTATACGTTTTGAATTCATGAGTTAACCGTTACAAGTAAAAAGTTGAAAAAAGGTTTACTTTGCAAAGTTCTTTGGTGTATCAGTTAACAAAGAATTGGATAAGAATCACAATATATTTTTGAATTTAGGAACTTTTTTTTTCTTCTAACTTTATAACAGTTTGTGTTATTTGAACTGACCAGTTGCAAAAAAATTTGTTAACTTGTGTATGATTTATTCAGTTATTCAGGTTGTTAGTATTAATGCCAATAGTATCCTGTTATATAAGGAATATAATTAACTTTTTGGTTTTTGCAATGTTATCATGGTAATAGTATAAAACTTGAACATATTTATTTCTGTTTTCAAATTATACTTTTAATAAATTAATAAATGGCTTAGTTACTGAGAAAATGAATGTCGGATAAAAAAAGAACATTTTATAGTTTAAGACATCCTGTTTCAGGTTTTACCCGATTTGAAGAAGTCTTCAGTACAAGACTTGTTTAACAATCCAGGACGGCCAGGTACAAGATCAAAATTAAGATATATATAATATGTTAATGAATTGTGCATTTAAACTGTATTTGTATATTGAAAAGACATTGTTAATTGTTTAATTTGCATGATGTGGTCAGGGCTTATCATCCTGTTTCAAGGGAACCACTTCGGTGGTCTCAGGGTAGCATGCTCACCTGGAGTGTGGGAGGTTGTGGGTTTGAACCTGGTTGGGTCAGACCAAAGACAAAAATTGGTATTTGCTGCTTTGTTGCATACCACATTCAGGAGTAAGAACAAAAACTGGTTGTTTCAAAGTCTGAATAATGTGTCCAGGTAAGGTGACATGTCTTCTTTTCCGATTGTTACCTTGTCAACTAGCACCTTGAAAATCCAGCTCAGCATGTCAGTCTAGTACAAAGCAGGGTTCATATATATATCACACTAACATGTTCTCTTCCTGAATATGCATTTAATTTGCCACTGAACGTTAAACAGCCATTCATCCAGTTTCAAGGAAAAAAATAACTGGCTTTTTTCTTTTAATATGACATTAAAAATGGTTTGTCAAAATGAACTAATGCTTGTTTAACAGGTAAAATTATATACCAATTGCAAGGAAGCTTGTTTAAGGTAGAATTGTCAATTGCATTAACCAATAAAGGAATTTTACAAAAACAAAATAAACATTACAACAGAACAATAGTTTTGACAAAACATAAATTCAAATATTTTTTTAAAAATTTTCAGCAATGACTAGACAGCCAAGGCTTTTACAGCTATGGAGAAGGAATGCAGTTTATGGGTTGCTGGAGACAGATTCAGATATTGGACAACCTGCATGGAGTGTGCCTGACTTACTTGGTATATTTTACTCAGACAAAGATGCCCTTTAACACTTTTGACTGTTCTCTTTAGGCCCTTTTTTCCATTCTTTATTTTCAGTTCTTGTCTTAATAATATATGATGAAATATTTTCCAGAAATATGTGAGTCAGACGCAATGAAATAAATTTTATTTTTGTATCTTAATACTGTAAATTCAGAAATTATTGCGAGGTTTTTATTATTGCGAAAAATGCGACAGAGTTGAAAACGCAATAATTTAAACTCGCATTTTGAAATATTTTATATGAATTAAACAGGCTTTTTCTCAAAATCGTAAAAATTAAAATCGCATTTAAGTCTAAAATAATAAAATCGCAATAATAAATGCACGCAATAATTTCTGAATTTACAGTAACAAGCATTATTCATTCTGACAGATTACATGAGTCAAGTAACCATTTAGTAAAATTTATTGACACCACTGATTATTGTCAAATCAAATCAGATAATAATGATTTCAATACATTGTATTTTTAAAAATTACTAGTAATAAAAAATATTTTGATCTTTTGTGTAATTTAGGTTTATGTGAATAAGTATAGTCTTTACACCTAAGAACAAGTTGGATGTCAGTAATTTATAGAAATGAAATAGATTTATATATGTATTCAATTTTTTGCTGACAACTCATAAAAACACTAAGAATCGAAATTATATTATATTTTAAAGGAGATGAAGAACCCAGACCAACTCGCAGTAAAAGAAGATTGGTTTCACAATCTGTCCCACAGCTATCTCCTGTTCAACAGCAGCAGGAACTAGAGATTCAAATACAGGACCAAGAGTTACCTAGGCCTGATTTGGAGGTAGGTTTTTAGAATACAAGTCAAACTATAAATATTGAAGGGTAATGATACAGAAACTGTTGTCTATCTTTTAAGAAACAACTTTAAAATCACCACCTTTGTTTGTATTATATGCTACATAAAAAATAATCAATGTTTGTTTTCCTGTCGTAAACTTACTTAAAAATTATACTGCTATTCTATAACTTTTTTCCGTTGCTTGAAAGATTTTATTTTAAGAAAGAAGAACAACTATTTCTATGGTTTGATACATAGTGTCATAAAATTAACACGGTTACATATATTTAAATGCCTATTGAAAAGGAAAAGTGCATGATACTAAAATTGAAAAAAAAAATTATATGCACACCCAATGCAATTAAAACAAGTGCATGTGTAGAGATAAAATCTTGGGTGTCACATGATGAAAATAATGTACATTATCTTTTAAAACATATTATATTCCTCATTTTCATAGATTTAGGAAAAATTGTATTTTCATGAATATTTGATTTCATAGTTTTGCAATGGTTATCAACTTCATCAAGAAAATATCCACAGATAATTAATTATAATATGAACATTCTGCAAAAAAAAATATTTTTATCTTTGACTGTGTGTATATATGTAGGAGATGTATGGATAAAGTATGGACTTAATATAAAATAATCATCACATTCTTTTCATTCTGTAAATGAGTCCTTAAAATTAATATCTGTACATACATTTTGCCAAATAAAAACTTTCTAGCTTTAAACTGAAACAAGAAGATGAGTGGACAAAACAGTGCACCATTTATTCAAAATAAAACAAAAAATGTATTAAGGGCTGTTCCATTTAAACATATATGGTACCCAGCTGTGATATATGGTGGTAGCCATCTTTAAGTGGCAAATTAAGAATTTTATTTATATTTTCACTGCACTTGACACTCGCCCATAGTAAGGATATCAGCTGTATTCCCTGGGTTCCATGTTTGTTTTAATGGAACAGCCCAATTTCAACTACCTGTCATTTTGTTAATAGTCCAAGAAAATCCAAATCTTGACAATGTATACAGTATTTATAAAATTGAGAATGGAAACAGGGAATGTGTCAAAGAGACAACAACTCGACCAAAGAGCTGAAAACAGCTCAAGGCCATAAATGGGTCTTCAACACAGCGATAAAATCTCGCACCCAGAGACGGGTTTTAGCTGGCCCCTAAACACAAATGTATACTAGTTCAGAGAAAATGGACGTCACACTGAACTCCAAAACATATAAATGAACCAAAATTAAAAATACATACAAGACTAACGAAGGCCAGAGGTTCCTGACTTGTGGCGGGGTTAAACATGTTTTGTGATATCTCAACCCTCCCCCTATACCTCTATACCTCTAACCAATGTAAAATAAACAAACACACAGCAATACGCACAGTAAACTCAGTTTAAAAGAAGTCAGAGTCCGATGTTCGAATAAGTAACAGAAGAAACTTAGCAAAATGACAATGATCAACATAAATTAACAAAGGGCTACTAGCAGTTACTGACATGCCAGCATCAGACTTGGATTAAATTGTTTGAAAGATTGTGTCTTCATCATATGAAATTCAAGTACAATCCCTCACGTTAGGAGTTTAGTATCATACCATCATAAAATATACGAGAAGAACATAACCCGTTTCATGCCAAAAACTGGTTTTAGAAAAAATGTGTTTATTTCTGATGCAAAGTCCCTATATGAGTGAATCAATATTATTTTTTTTTTTTGTATGTATGTATAAAACTTTTTTTTGCAAATTAAAAGCTTCTAATTTTAAAATAGACGATTAGTAGACAAATCATGTACTGGGTTAGTAGACCAAATGGACAGACAGAGGTAAAACAATATACTCTCACATAGAAAATGTAATTAATTCTATAGATTTACAATAAAGAATTTGTTTATACAGGCTATACCAGAACATGTAATGGAGGAACAGCCTTCAACTGAAATGATGAGAGAAGGTTCCCTATCTAGGAGTCGTCTGCTAGATGATACACCTGTCTCTATTCATCAGAGAAGTACTCATTCAGAGGCAGACAAAAGTAAAGATTTGGATAAGAGTAAAGGGAAAGAGGAACCAGCTGTTAGTAAATCCAAGTAGGTTTTAAATTATAGAAAGTTTTTTGAGGACAAGGCAAATTTGTACTTCAAGGTTAGTTTAAATGTTAATAAGGATGATAAATTTCTGTTTTACCTTGTTTATCCAATTAGTTTATGTCACATGATTTGTAGAAATACAAAATGTTGTTCGTAAATAAAGAACAGTAAAATATGGGGGTTTAAATTTTTTTATTTGTGTGTTGCAGAAGAAAATCTAGAACAACAAGAGGAAGCACTACAACAGAGGAAGAGATGGATGTAAATTTAATACCAGATACGTCTGAAAACCAATCGGTGCTTCAGGAATCTCTTGCACAACTGTCCTCCATTATGGAAGAACCTCAAGTTCCTATCACACCTATTCCCTTGCCTGTTGTTACTACTTCTACACCCACATCAGCTGAACTTCTCAGGTACAATGTTTAAAATTTAAGTAATGTAGATAAAGAAACTATTGTGATGTTTTTATTAATGCGAAAAATGCACAGTATCAGGTTTGAAATAATAAAAACTTTTATAATTTCAGTTGTGAGTTTCCTTCATAAATTTTTGCAATCCCACTTATTAGATATCCCATTTATGCCAGATGTCAAAGAATTCACAATAATAAATGCACGCATGAATTTCTAAATTTACAGTAGTTTGATTACTAACTATAAACATTTTATGAAATTTTTAATTTTAGATGATTAATTGTTATAAGTTTGTTTAGTAAGTAATGGTGCTTCCCTTGGCCTAGTAGATTAACAGTTTCCCTCAATTAGCTGTTCTTGTGGAGATATCCTTTAGATCAGTTGTTATAGATGTGGCTTTCTCGTACAAGGCATCCCACATTTTTACACTAGCTGGTGGTAATTTGGAAAAAGAAAATTATGCTTTACTGTTACATTTGGTGTTTCAAATGAAAAACTCATGATGATAATATAGAGTATAGGCTTTATTTTGGATATTATTATGGTAAAATGACTCTTTGGGTGTGGAAAGAGTTGAGGTGTTTCCCTCAACCTAGTAGATTTGTAACCACTGGCCCTAGCTCAGTTGGTAAAGAAGTCCTAGGTATGAACCACAGCTGGTACATTGATAAATTTGGATGGAAAATTATGCTCTACTGTTACAAATATATTGCAGTTTAATACAACCCTTGCTTTGTAAGGAAGATATGTCTATTTAAATACTTTCAATAAAGATACATATTTGGAAGGAAAGATGGAAAGCAACAAATACCAGTTATCTTAAATTTGTTGTTATTTACAATAAATCACTTCTTTGGAAAACAAAACAGGAAAGTTTATCATTAAGAAAAGGGAAATTTTCTTGGTCATTCAAACCTTCTGCTTTCATTAATCCTAGAATAAATGGATTGTTAGATTGAAAAAAAAATAATTTAAATGTATAAAATTTCATGTATATGTTGGAAGAAAACCTTTTTCACTGGTAAGAAATATTGGAAAAAAAAATATCAGTTTAAAGTATATTTTTTTTATTTATGTAGGCTGATCAGACGATACACAAGAGAAGAAGAATGGACAACTTTTCAGACAATATGTTCACCAAATCAGTTTGACAGAACACAGGCAGCAAAAATATTCTCCGACTTATTAGGTTTGTACATATTGCTACATTTTGCCTTTTATATCGTACTCTCTTCTTTAATCCACCTTTGAGTTACATAAGATCATTTTTGTCTCGGCTGCAACAAAAGTCGCAGTATGCGAGACATAGGTATTACTATCCAGCGGCCGCGTTAACTATTTTTATATAGCTTTATATTTCAGATGGTTAAAGACCTGGATGCTTTATATCTTGTATGCAGATACCTTATGTTAAGAAGTTTCGTTAATCATATGTCCATTGTCCTTGACCTCATTTTCATGGTTCTGTGACTGCTTAAAAAAAAAATGAGTTTTTTTGTCATGTGAATTCTCCCTTATTATGAGTAATACGATAACTATATTTGGCATATGAGTTCCTTGCAACATCTACATGTCCGTCAGACAGAGTTCACCTGACCTCAACCTCATTTCATGTATCAGTGATCAAGGTTTAAAGTTACGTGATGAGGTCCATTTCTCAAATACTATAAGCAGTAGGTGAATTATATTTTGTGTATGGAATGATTGTAATGGGTACATGTCAGTCTGGCAGGTTTCATCTGACTTTGACCTCATTTTCATGGTTCATTGGTCAATGTTAAGTTTTTATGTTTTGGTCTGTTTTTCAAGTACTATAAGCAATAGGTCAACTATATTTGGTGTATGGAATGACTGTAAGGTGTACATGTCTGTCTGACAGGTCTCATCTGACCTTGACATCATTTTCATGGTTCATTGGTCAATATTTAGTTTTGTGTTTTTGTCTGTTTTTCAAGTACTATAAGCAATAGGTCAACTATATTTGGTGTATGGAATGATTGTAAGATGTACATGTCTGTCTGGCAGGTATCATCTGACCATGACCTCATTTTTATAGTTCAATGGCCAATGTTGAGTTTTTGTGTTTTGGCCTGTTTTTTGGTCAGCTATATTTGATGCATAAAAAAATTGTAAGGTGTATATGTCTGTCTGACACGATTTATCTGACCTTGACCTCATTGTCATAGATCTTTAAAAATGTTAAGTTTCTGTTATGCTTTTAGTAAAACCTTTTATCTTTAAGACTTTCAACATAAAATCAATGGTCAGTAAAGCAGGCGAGACATTTCAGCGTGTGCACTCTTGTTTTATCTATTAATCCACCATTACTACGAACAAGTATCTGTAATAACAATAACATTAACTTTTGAGGCCTTCTGTTAATCTCATGAAATACGTGGTTGTACCCCTTTTCTTGAAATTCTTGATGATAATAGGCTGTTTTTTTTAGTAAAGATAAGAATTGCAGATGGAATCTGTGCTTTATCTCAATGACTTGGACATAAAAAGGAGTGGTAATTAGATTATTTTTTGTATTTTTTTAACAATTAATACTTTAGGCATAACTTTTTGACATGTTTTAATAGTTAGAAAACTTATGCTATGTTTTCTAAAAAGAATGTGATAGGTTGATTTTTAGATGAATAAAAAATGTCCTTCATGACCAGAATGTGAGATAATTTTGGTCATGCTTTTTACAACCACAAGAAATCTTTTTTCTGTAACATTTTCTCCTTTCTATATTATAACTTGAATAAATATTGTTGAGAAATTTTTAAATATTACTGTGGATTCATTTATTTTCATGGGTACCAATTTCGTGGATTGAGGGAATATTGTATTTTCATGGATATTTGATTTCATGATTTTGCCAAAATCTGCATACGAATCTACAGAAAATTTGTACTTCGTTGATCATTCAAATTTGTGGTTCACCTTAACCCATCAAATCCACGAAAAATTGGTATCCCACAAATGTTAATGAATCCACAGTAATACATTTAGTTTATCATGTTTATCTTTACATATTATGTAAGTAGTAGGTTTATGAAGTGTCAATATTGGCACTAAAATACTATGAAATTTAAATTCAGTGATATTAGTAAACATTTAATGAAAAAAAATGTACAAATATATGACCAATGCAAAATCACTAAGCTCTGATGCATTTCAACAGCAAGGACATCATAGTTGAGCACTCTTGCAATGAAAATCATAATTTTGACTAATTTTTTTGTAGTTTTTGCTTCAGACAACATGAGCCACATTCATCAACCACAATGATTTTTTTTATTAGGATATGTATCACAAATACATCTTTTTTTACAAATTAATTTTAGTCTAGCAGGTGTGGCCTATATTTTTCAGTAGTAAATAAACATTAAAACACATTTAAATAGTAAATTAATATGGCTGAAAGCTGGTAAAATATAACAAGTTTAATGGTTGTATTTGGTTAAGGGCAGAATAAGTTATTAAATGACACTTATCAATTTTTTTTCAACACACAACTCACCTGACCTGGATCCACAATTTCATTATTTCATTGTAAAAATAGGAGATTTGGTATGGTTGTCAATGAGACCATTATCCATCTGTGTTCATATGAAGTGGATGTAAGCAATTATAGGCCACCATATGACCTTCAACAATGAGAAAAACCAATAATGTATAGTTGACTATAAAAGGCTCCAACATGAAAAATGTGAAACAATTAAAACAAGAAAACCAACAGCCTAATTTATAACAAAAAACACAAACAACTCACATAAAAAACATTAGACACAAAGCACCAAAATACGAGTACTTGCAGTTACTGCATTGTCTGGTATATCTTATATTTCAGATTTGTGCCGAAGTAAAAAGGTAAAATGTGAACAGGAGGCAGCCTTTGAAGATATTTACATCTGGAGAACCTCTTAATGGATGCATTCACGAAATGGATGGCTGTATTGTCTACATGCTGATGTTATGACAGCAAACTTGAAGTCTTATTAGTGTGTAGAATTGTTAGAATTTGCTCAATGTTTATAAGTTGGAATGCTAAATATAAGTGAAGGCAGGTAGAATAATGTCTCTAATTTAAAGTTTTTTTTTAAGTAAATAAGTTCAAACAGACTTTAAACCTCTTAATATATATTTCTTCATAGAATTAAAATTAAGAAAATCATTATGAACTAATTGTATTTTTATTTTATGAATGAATTAATTAAGATTTTGTTTATGATGGTTAAGTTATATTTAGTGTCTTTGGTATATGATATATATGCCAAATATATATTATTTACAGGAATTTTTAGAAGTATATTTATACCTATTTTTACATAAACTATATTATTCCATAAAGTGAATCATGACAAGATTTCCCAGTAATATGATTCAGATTATGCATCATCATATATTTTGTATTATGATATAATTTTAATTAAGAATTAATTCTTTATGATCCACCATTCTTTCTACTTTTTTAACAAGTATAAAATTATGGATTATAATTGGAGAATCTGCATTTTAAAATCATTGTGCTCTTTAAAAAAAAACCCATTTTACACGAAAAATGAACTGACACATTGTGTATGTTTTGAAATGTGTCTATATATAAACATTGAAATAATGGAGGACAGGAAAAGCATAATCCCACCCTTTTCAGTTAATACTTGAGTAAAATACACTCAAGAATCATATTTATCTAAACAATTAAATTTACAGGAAAAATTAATTTGTAAATCTTGAAATAAACATTGTGAAAGCATTAAGTCGCATATCAATTACAGCGTCACTTCATATTTATTTTTACATTGAAAGAAGAGCGAGTTGTTTATGTCAAGTAGAATATTTGGTAATTTTGATTTAACAAGATTTTTTACCAGTTTAGTTTTATAAAGCTTAGGAATGAACTGTTTGCATCTTTTTGTTGTCTGAATGTATTTCTTATATTCAAATCATGCTAGCTGTTAAATATTTAACCTGTAAATATTAAATCCATATCAAGTTAAACTAATATTGTTGAAATATTTTATAGTTGTTAACTATTTAATTGTTGATTTATCATAGTTATAAAGCTTTGAATTGTTGATTTATAAGAATTGTTAATTATTAAATTGTTGATTTATACGAGTTAATTGTTGAATTGATTTTTAAACAAATTTTACTGTTATACTTTGATTGTTGATTTGTTTGTTATATGATGTAGAAAACTAAGTATAATCATGCACATTATATTTTAACGAATAAAAGAAATTTTTAATAAAGTAGTTATGTTAATTTTTTATTTCATCTTTGTAGGTTTGGCTTTATCTATCACTTTGCATTCATTGTCAGGCTAACATGTCTGAAAAAAAACAAACAAAAAACCTTCCAATCTGACCATTTAGTTAAGATCTTGTAATGATACTGAGACAGAAAATAATAAAATATATAGGACATTTTTTATTTTTAATGTTTCAGTTTAAAAATTGAAAATATAGTTTAGAGTTATCTCCCTTTGAATCGATGTTTACTGTTCAATTTTATAGTTTAAATTTATACTCCACCCTATAAAGTACTGAGAATATATATTTTTGACTTGTCAGTCATCCTGATTTCTGAATGAATTAATGCTTTATATTGTATTGCAACCTAACATGTATGTAACTGGAGGCTCTTAAGAGCCTGTGTTGCTCACCTTGGTCTATGTGCATATTCAACAAAGGACACACTCCAACATTGCAGATGAGAATAGAATTCATAACAAAAATCTCTGTTTTGTTGATCTTGTATAGCTGATCATTTAGTCTGTTCAGTTTCTCTCTATTTTCTTTGGTTTTTGCTCAAAACACAAAAGAGGGTAACAAAAATCCTCATTTAAGGGCAATCACTCCTATAAAGAGTGACAGTCTACTTACTATATCTGCAAAATTTGACTTGTTAGTAGATCCTGCCTTGCTAATCATTTTTGAGATTTACAGTGTCTATTTATCTATTATAATTTTTTTCATATAAGGCAAAATGCAAAAAACAAATGGTAAAATCGTAATTAAAGGGCAATAACTCCAATAAGGAGTCATCAGACAATTTCCTCCATATAGTCTTAATTGTAGATCATGTCTTGCTGATCATTTTGCTTATTCAAGTTCTATCTATTATAATTTTTAAAATATAAGGCAAAAATGCAAAAAAATGGTAAAAATCGTCATCAAAGGGCAATAACTCCAATAAGGAATCGACTGACGATTTCGACCATGTTTAAACTTATTTGGAGAACTTGTCTTGTTGATTTTTTTTGGCAATTTAATGTTTCTCTCTATTATAGTTTTCAAGATAATAGGCAAAAATGAAAAAAAAAAATGGTAAAATTTGTCATTTTTAAAGACATTAACTCTTATAAGAAGTCGTCTGACAGTTTTGATATATGTGGATAATTGGTAGATAACAACATTGTGAACATTTCTGCCCCATCAAATTTTCTCTATTCATTGTGGTTTTCAAGATAATAGACAAAACTTGCATTTTTACCCCTATGTTCTATTATTAGCAATGTCGGCCATGTTGGTTGGCAGGCGGTGTCATTGGACATATTTTTAAAACTAGATACCACAATGATGATTGTGGCCAAGTTTGGTTACATTTGGCTCAGTAGTTTCAGAGGAGAAGATTTTTGTAAAAGTTAAAAAAGATGACGATGGACGCCAAGTGATGAGAAATGCTCACTTGGCCTTTCATCAAGGTGAGCTAATAATAAGTATAATGAGAGAAGGTTTAAAATTGATTTCGAGGTCACTACCTCTCGCATCAAGGTCCTAGTTTCGAAAGATTGACTGACTTAGTGAGAAAAAATTGGTTTCTGGACAGTTACACTTTACATGAGATTGGAGCCAAACTTGCATAGATGTTCACAATAAGTTTGGAAGGTCCATATTGATTCCACGGTCAATACATCAATGTCATTGATTCAAAAAATAAACTGAAATAAGAGCAGAAAAGGTTCTCCATCACCATACATGGGATTGGAATCAAACTTGGATATATGGTAACACACAAGGGGAGGGAGATCACTATTGAATTTTAGCTCAATATGTTCAAGGTAAAGAAAGTTACTAGAGATGGAATTCTTGGCTTTATAAAAATAGGTCTTAAATCTAATGAATTCTTAGAAGATGCATCTAAACTAGAATTAGAACAACAAATACACTGAAAAACAGTACAGTTGCAGTTTTTCCATGCTGAATATTGTTCCAAACAAGGTTGAAGGTTGATAATCATAGTTACTGCAAATTCAGAAATCATTTTGAGGTTTTTATTAATGCGAATTATGGGACTTGGTGATTATCACAATAATAAGAACTTGCATTCAGATATCTGATACATAAATCTGTTTGCAGATTTTCCTGAAATCACAATAATTAACCTCACATTTTTGTCTATTCATTTATTAGCTCACCTGGCCCGAAGGGCCAAGTGAGCTTTTCTCATCACTTGGCGTCCGTCGTCCGTCGTCCGTCGTCGGCGTTAACTTTTTACATTTTGAACTTCTTCTAGAGAACCACTGAATGGAATGAAACCAAACATGGCATGAATGTTCCTTATGAGGTGCTGACCAAGTGTTGTTACTTTGTAGCCGATCCATCATCCAAGATGGCCGCCAGCGGGGGACTTAGTTTAACATAGGACCCTATGGGAAATGCATACAAATGACTTCTTTTAGAGAACCACTGAATGGAATAAAACCAAACATGGCATGAATGTTCCTTATGAGGTGCTGACCATGTGTTGTTACTTTGTAGCCGATCCATCATCCAAGATGGCCACCATCGGGGAACTTAGTTTAACATAGGACCCTATGGGAAATACATAAAAATGTCTTCTTTTAGAGAACCACTGAATGGAATGAAACCAAACATGGCATGAATGTTCCTTATGAGGTGCTGACCAAGTGTTGTTACTTTGTAGCCGATCCATCATCCAAGATGGCCGCCAGCAGGGGACTTATTTTAACATAGGACCCTATGGGAAATACATAAAAATGTCTTCTTTTAGAGAACCACTGAATGGAATGGAACCAAACATGGCATGAATGTTCCGTATGAGATGCTGACCAAGTGTTGTTACTTTGAAGTCGGTCCATCATCCAAGATGGCCGCCAACGGGGGACTTAGTTTAACATAGAACCCTATGGGAAATACATACAAATGTCTTCTTTTAGAGAACCACTGAATGGAATGAAACCAAACATGGCATGAATGTTCCTTATGAGGTTCTGACCAAGTGTTGTTACTTTGTAGCCGATCCATCATCCAAGATGGCCGCCAGCGGGGGACTTAGTTTAACATAGGACCCTATGGGAAATACATACAAATGTCTTCTTTTAGTGAACCACTGAATGGAATGAAACCAAACATGGCATGAATCTTCCTTATGAGATGCTGACCAAGTGTTGTTACTTTGTAGCCGATCCATCATCCAAGATGGCCCCCAGCGGGGGACTTAGTTTTACATAGGACCCTTTGGGAAAAACATAAAAATGTCTTCTTTTAGAGAACCAATAAATGGAATGGAACCAAACATGGCATGAATGTTCCTTATAAGATGTTGACCAAGTGTTGTTACTTTGCAGCCGATCCATCATCCAAGATGGCCGACAGCGGGGGACTTAGTTTAACATAGGACCCTATGGGAAATACATACAATTGTCTTCTTTTAGAGAACCACTGAATGGAATTGAACCAAACATGGCATGAATGTTCCTTATGAGTTGCTGACCAAGTGTTGTTACTTTGCAGTCGATCCATCATCCAAGATGGCCGCTAGGGGGGGGGGGCTTAGTTTAACATAGGACCCTATGGGAAATACATACAAATGTCTTCTTTTAGAGTACCACTGAATGGAATGAAACCAAACATGGCATGAATGTTCCTTATGAAGTGCTGACCAAGTGTTGCTACTTTGTTGCCGATTTACTGTTCAAGATGGCCACCAGGATATTTTATTAAATAACGGGACCAATATAAATCAAAATTTGGCCTCAATCATTATTTGGGTATCTGTTATGATTTTTATCTATCTTTACATGATTTCTAAAACCAAAGTAGAGTCAGGTGAGCGACACAGGCTCTTGAGAGCCTCTAGTTATTCATGTACACATTTATTTCTGAATTGACAGTACTCTTGTTTCGGAAGAACAACTTAGGTATTGGCTGCTTGAAATAAGTTGATGGCATGGGCTATTGTCAGCTTTACTAAAGCAAGACAAAATTTTGCAAGCACTACAAAAAGTTGAATATCACATTGCAACCCCATAAATTTAGGTAATCAATAACACAATCATGTTAAGCCCTTCTAGAGTGTACAGGAAAACATTTCATCTGTTTTCATGTTCTAAAACAATTCAGAAATTTATCTTTCACACTTAAATCTTCATTAATGAATATTATATGAAGCATATAAAGGGAGTTAATTTGACCAATCTCAAGATAACGTAGCCAGAATGTGTGTTCTATGGACACCTTATGCCCCTCTCAAATTATCACATTCCATTTTCAGTGAACTGTGATATCAGGGTCCAAACCATTTTTGGCATATCATTTTAATTGATGTGAATTCAACTTCATGCTAAACTACCTTGACCACAAACTTTTACCTGATACTGAACAGACAAACACACAGACCAGAAAACATAATACCTTGGCATACAAAAACCCGAGCAACTAGGGTTGTACCATGGTGTGTGGACAGACTGTTTATTGTTTCCCTGTCATTTTACCACATTGAGATAAAATGCAGTTGTATTTTATGAAAATATGAAATAATACAATCCTTCAACAATTTATTTCAAAATAGTGTATTGAAACAAAATATCATCAAAAAATATGATTTAAAAAAAAATGATTCATAAACTAATTATCCCAATCAATAAATGTTCTCTCCCTAAAATAACACCAATATAATTAATTTTTTATTTAATTAATCTGTCTTCATAAAGAATGAATATACTGATTTCATTCAATCAATAGTGTAAATAACTACTAAAATCTACAAATTTGTGAATATATATCAT